GCAGGGCAGGGGCAGGGGCAGGGCAGGGCAGGAGCAGGGCAGGGGCAGGAGCAGGGACAGGCGCAGGAGCAGGGGCAAGGCAGGAGCAGGGCAGGAGCAGGAGCAGCAGGGCAGGGGCAGGGCAGGGCAGGAGCAGGGCAGGGGCAGGGGCAGCAGGGCAGGGGCAGGAGCAGGGGCAGGGCTGGGACAGCAGGGCAGGGGCAGGGCAGGTACAGCAGGGTAGGGCAGGGGCAGCAGGGCAGGGGCAGGAGCAGGGGCAGCAGGGCAGGGGCAGGGAAAGGCCGCAGGCCCCACAGCCCTCCCCTGTGGCTCTGCCCCTCCTGACCACCTCTGCTACTGGGGTGTAGGGACAGGGGGGTCCTCAGGCCCAGAAGGCCACCTCAGCTCCAAACTCAGCATCCTCCTCTCAGGTGGTCAAGAGGACCCTCCGGGGCGATCCCACAGAGTCCCAGGCTTCCCACTGTGGCCCACCATGGCTCTGCTCCCAAAGCCAGAGGTAGGTCCTCACCTCTGGTGGCCGGGAGACAGGGTGCTGCTTCCAAGCCATGGGACAAGATGGCAGCTAGAGCATGTGCAGACACTGCCACCTGCAGGTGTGAGCTCAGCGAGGACCGCAGTTAGACGCGTGGAGAAACTCGAGCCACTCGGGTGAATGCAGGCTCTGGGCCCAGGGACGACCCGTCAGTTGAGGAGGGACACGGCGCKGGCCAGTGGGAACCTGCAGCCTGGTCTGGGGGCTGTGCAGAGTGGGGTGACTAAAAAGGGTGATGTGGAGAAGGATTCCTTCAGCATCCAAGAGTGCCGGAGAGACGGACTCMTGAACCGGAAAACACGGCCTGCAGGGAGCTCCACTGAGGCTGAAAGTGGCTGCYGAGACCCAGGCACCGGTTGGCCACGCTACAGCCCAGGCAGCGGCGGGAGGGGCCCTGACAGCCTGTGTGTGCCCAGGGGTTCATTAAAGCCAGCTGGAGGAATTCAGAAGGAATTCAGCCTTGGGTCAAAGGCAGGGGAAAAGCCCTCTTTGAAACTGGGGCGTGCAGGCGGCAGGGCGAGCAGAGGCCTGGCTGACGTGAGAGGGGCGGGTGGGCAGTCAGAGCTGCTGAAGGCAGAAGAGGAGGGGGAGGGCGCAGGAAATGGCGCCACGGAGAGTGGGCCAGCGCCTGCGGACAGCAGAGCACGTGCTGGAGAGCAGTGAAGACCAAGCCGGGCTCCTCGGGAATGGGTCCACACAGCAGCCCAAGAGACCAGAGCGTCAAAGGGCCCGCGGGGCAGCGGGCGAGGCCACCCGGGGACCCTTCCCAACCCGGAAGTTAAAGAACACGAGGAGCGTCCGGCAGAACCCACAGAACACAGAGGGCGGAACCAGGGGCTCTTGGAGGGAAAGTGTCGGCTGTTCCTCGTTGGACAACACACGGTCAGGGAATCAGGAGGGCATTTCTAGGCCATAAGCAGTGGAAATGGGTGACTTTGCATCTTTCAAGAAGGAGAAGGGGGACAAAGAAGCCCAAGCAGATCTGTCACTAGCCAAGGAGGACCTGGGCAGGTCCCTCAGTGATGGCAATTAGGGGATAGAAAAGGACTGTGGCAGCCAGTGCCTCTAAATAGCAATCGTCCAAGTGAATGTGGAAGTGAAGACAGTAACAAGGTGACCAGCTGTTTGGGGACAGCTGCAGGGTGAGGGCTCATCTGGCTCCACAGGACTTCCCTCCTGGCCTTGTGATGGTCTYCGCACGCCCCTCCCCGGCCGTGGTCTGCTGTCAGCTCCACATGACCAAGCCGCCTGCAGAGGCCTCTCGGGTGTCGAGGTGCGATGGCCAAACCAGACCTGGTTGTGACGTGAAAGCACAAAACCACTGTGGTAAGAAACCTGGGCCTGGGGCGGGGTCAGTCCCCCCAGCCTTTCTCCAGGAAGCCCGAGGGACCACGTCCCCACCTTTGGGGGCTGGATGATGCCCTGGGCTCTGACGGCACCCCCTGGACGTGGGCGATGCCTGTGAGCAGAGCGGGTCCTCCCAYCCGTCTCTGTGAGCACCTTCAGGTCAGAGGCCCTGCACGGGCTTCAGCCTCTAGACTAGGAATGTTTTAAAGAGGAGAGAAGCCCAGTGATAGGACGGGCCTGAGACGAGGGCCTGTGAGTGTCSAGGAAACTGYGGATCAGGGCTCGGAATCTGGGGCTGGCTCTCCTCTGGCCGCCCCTCACAGCAGAGTTCCCAGCTCTACTCTCCGAGGCGGCTTGCTGCTTCCCGATGGCCTGCTTCCCGCCACAAAGGGAAGCTGAGATCCTGTTTCCCGGAACCAACACCCCTGCGCATGCCAGGCATGGATCTGTGGATCAAGAGGTCCCTGTGTGGACTCTGACCACCAACTGGAGGAAGAGGCCTTCATTCCAGGCCGTGGACACCAGGGACATGGGCAGGGTAGGGCAGAGCCGCTGTAGCCCCCGGGCATGGCTACTGTGCCTCAGCTGGGCTGAGGCAGGAGGGCCTCCCCGAAGCTGGTCCCTGGCCTCCTGGGGCAGAGTCCCCGCGGCAGCTCTTAACCCCAGGCATGCTTGCCGTGGCAGAGGGAGGCCATCTTAGAGGTATCACGATGGTCAACCCCAGAGGCTTTGGGGGGACGACTGATGTGGCGTCCCTAGGACTGAGGCAGATGGACAGTCCGCTAAAGACTGCACTTGTGAAAGTTCAAAGAAAGAAACATGCTCCAGAGTTTGAGAGCCTGCCCGAGGCACCACGTGGTGGGGACGCTGCCAGCCCCAGCCCTCACCCAGGCCCCAGGCCTGAGCTCCTGGGGTGCAGGGATGCGGGGTGCCTGGAGGCTGGCTGTGGGCACTCAGGCAAGGCTGACCTCCCCCTATCCTTCCCTGGCTGCTGTGCACTGGGAGGGGGACTCACAGTGTGGGGGAGTCAGTGGGCACTGGCCTAGAGCAAATTCCTCAAGACCAGCAAAGCCCCCAAGGACACCAGTCAGGGCAAGGGCTAGCAGTGGCCAGTCAATGACGCTTGGGCTGCTCTGCTGTAGTGGGCCTGCTGTGGACACCACCTGGGGTCACCCCTCCACGCCCAAATGCACAGGTGGAACACAGAGCAGCTGGCAGGATCCCCACATGGACCTCTAGACCCAGGGCCATCTTGTCAGGAAGGGCCAACTGGAAGCCCCTAGCAAAGACCTCTTCCTGCTAACACGGCCACTCAGCCACAGTGGGTTTTAGAAGACTCGCCAGGCTGGTGCCTGTCCTTGCCTGCTCCCAGAAGGTGCTGGGGAGACTCCCGTCGCCTCTCTGCCACCCACTCCTTCCCTCATGGAAGCACTGTGTGTGTGACCTTAAGGCGGGATCACGGTGGGTCTTACTGGGACCCATGGTCCTCGTGCTAGGCAGGCAGGGGACTAGTGCAGCCTTCCTCACTGCTCCTGCTGGTAAGAATGCCATCATCAAGGGGCTCCCGCCTGGCAGGGGTAGCCGCGGGTTACGGTCACAGCTCCTCCTAGGTCCAGGCCACTGCCCAGCCCTCAGTGGCTCTGGGACCTGATGCTCAGCACATCTGTGCTGACATGCCGGCTGGGTCTGGCAGGGGCAGGGGCAGACGCTAGAAGCTTGGTGCGACACACATACACCCAATCCCAACAATGTCAGGAAAGCAGAAGTCACTGCAGCTATTCTGAGCATGAGAGACTTAAGAAAGGAATTGGAGGCCACGTCCCCGCAGAAGGGCTGGTGGAGACCCTCCAGGAAAACCTTGGCACTCAGGCTGGCCGGCAGCAGCGTGGCGGGAAGCCACTGTGACTCACAGGCACGTCTTGGAAATTCCCAGGACTAAGGGCTGGGGCTGGCAGCGTCCCCACCACGTGGTGCCTCGGGCAGGCTCTCAAACCCTGGAGCTGGAGCATGTTTCTTTCTTTCTTTGAACTTTCACAAGTGCAGTCGTGACTTTAGAGGACTGTCCATCTGCCTCAGTCCTTGGGACGCCACATCAGTCGTCCCCCCAAAGCCTCTGGGGTGGACCATCGTGATACCTCTAAGATGGCCTCCCTCTGCCACGGCAAGCACGCCTGGGGTTAAGAGCTGCCGCGGGGACTCTGCCCCAGGAGGCCAGGGACCAGCTTCGGGGAGGCCCTCCTGCCTCAGCCCTGACCAGCCCAAAGCAGCCACAGAGGGCTCCTCCAGAACACCCCTGCCCAACACAGCCACTCCAGGACCCCCGGGGGCAGGGGGCGGAATGGGAGGCCACGGGCACCTGGGAGGGAAGGCGAGACCGTGGCCACAGCTGGCCACTGCAGCCCTCTTCCTCCCCAGCCTGCCGGCTTCCTGTGTGTCCCCTTCCATAAGCTCAGTTTCCCCCACCAGGGCCTGRCACGCTCTTCACAGCTCAGACCCACCACTGAGGTCCCTCCTTCTGTCTGCGGCGTTCCGGTGCCCAGGGAGGCAGGCGCTTGGCCTTCCTGCTGCCCCCTCCTGCCCAACACACAGTAGGTGCTCTGTGAGTGTCCCCCGGGCTGTGGTGCTGGGAAGGCAGCCTCAGGGAGGAGCCCAGGGTGCGTCCAGCCTCTCTCGTATGTGCGTGCCGCCCTCTCGGCTCCAGTGCCGAGCCACGCAAGGTGCCTGGACGTGTGAGCGTGGCCAGGTCCACTGCTAAGGCTGCTACGGCTGCAGCTCGGAGAAGCTTCTCTGGCCAGAAGCCACTTCCTGAGGCCGCAAGCTCCCACCTGGCAGGMGTGGGGCTGGGCTCAACCACTGCAGGGGGTGGACGCTGTGGCTCCTCCAGGTGGGGAAGCGGGGAGCCCTGAGTGGTGGGCTGGAAGAGGGCCGGGGCCAGAGGCCGGCAGGGAGCAGGAGTGGCCTCAGGGAAGGGGCCAGGGCGGCTGCTCCAGGCTTCCCGGGGGATGAGTGGGGTGGCAGGGAGGCTGGCTGGCCAGCCGCTGGGGACCTGGGAGGTGCCAGTGGGACAACCTGATGAGACCTGCAGGTGAACCCTGGAGGTCGAGGACGGGGTCAGGTGGAGGGCAGTGCAGGAAGCCTGCCTCACTGACCTCCAGACCCAGCAACAGTGCCCGCCCCARCTGTGCCTCCCGCTGGGACGCACAGGCAAGTCCCTGGAGCTGGGAACCAAGCCACGCAGCCCAGGCTGCCAGGCCTCCTGCCCCTGGCTGGGGCTCCAGGGAGCGACCTGGTCCATGATGGCTCCAGCCCACCCAGCTCGGGGGGTCTGCTCACCCCACCAAGCCTCTCTGCCAGGTGTGCTCCTGTCTTGTGTTTTTGTCCCTGGGAAGATGGCCKCGGTTAACAGCACTGTAAACAGACCCTTCCCCCAGCGTCCTCCACGGTCGGCTCCCACCTGCTCTTTGGTGTCTTCTCCCAGCTAACGCGGCTGCCCTCCTTGGCCAGGCTGCTCCACTCTCCACCCCTCTGCTCCCGTGGCCGTCTCGGACTGGAACGTCTTTCCCAAACTCTCACCTCATTGAGCTCCTACTTAAACCCCAAGCCTAGTTCAAATGACCCTACCTAAAAACCTTATCAAATGGCCTCAAAGTGAGCTGCTCCTTCTACCATTCCAGAAACCTCCACTCGGTCCTCCACTCAAAAACCAAACCCACTTTCTGTTTCCGTCTGTTTTGACCCATTGGTACCCGAGAGCAGGGCCCTCCCTGTCTGATCCCCTTCTAGCCCTGGCATGGGCTTGGCATCTGGAGGTCAGTCTGCAGACTAAAACGGTGGTTCCTTCGTGGAAGGGTTTATGCTCACCCTGCCCTGTGCCTCCCGACCCCAACCTGCGCCAGGCCCCACGCTCAGCAAGACACAGGCCTGGTCCTCAGAGCAGTTTATTAGTGACACACAGTGGTCGCGCCGAGGGGCACCAGTCAGTGGCTACACCACGTAAACAGTAGAAAGTCGATTAGTAGAGCAGAAAATTCAAGTGAGGTGGCTACAAATGGGGCAGATGGGCTGAAAACTAGTATTTTCATTGCAAGTTTCTTTTTATAAAATTTTTTACTTTATGAATTAAATACACTGAGAAACAGTGAAAATATATTTACAGTCATCTCAAATGGGCACTACCAACGTATTTAATTTAAAAAAAAGTTTCTTTCAAAGAGAAATTTAAATATGACTTTAGTTTTAAAAAATACAATAAGGAAATAATTACATTCTTAATATGAAAACATCTTACAACTTACAGCCATGGTCAATTAATTCTGAATACCTATGGTGTAAAAGTTGATGCTAAAATGTCTAGTGAATATTTCCTTTCTCATTAGAAAATCAATTGGAAAGATGGCCTTGGCCAAAAACCTTTGGTCCCTAGGAAGGAAGGTCTGCAGAAGCTGCTGCCAACTTCTCCCAGGGCGCCAACTCCTGGYGTTCTTGTGTGCCAGGCAGCCAGCACCCGAGGCAATGACCGCGGTACCCACAGGGTGTCAGGTCCCGGCCACACCCACGTGTCTAAGGCGACAAGCCCTGGCTGGGCAGGGCACAGCGGTCTGGGGCCCTCCACGGGCTGGGCCTGAGCACACACAGCGGCTTCACTTTTTTGATTTTCAGTTTCACAGTATGAACCCAGCTCTCCACGGGTTGTAAGAGGACAGTAGAACAGGACCAAAATATTTAGTTGCCTCTTTAAAACCATGCCCTGGTTTAAAACTGTTCCCGTAGAAATGGTTTTAGGAAGCAGGAGGACGAGATGAGGAAGGCAGTGGCTCCCCTCCCTGCTGCATGGCCCTTTCAGACCTTGGGGTGTCCTGCCTGCACTGCGGTGGCAGAAGCTAGCCCGACCTCTGTGTGACCAGAGGGGACCCTGCAGCATGCACACGGCAGATGCTGGTGGCAAAGGAGGTTGCCTTCCCTCTGGTGGGAGGCCGCTGGCCCCTTGCTGCTGCCCACCCTCAGCAGGAGCCGTGGGACCTACTCTCCCCTGCAGGGGCTCTAAAGGACTGTGCTGGCGGGGCTCTCCATGGCCTGGGAAGCCGCCCTTGGAACCTGGCAGAAGGCGAGGTGGCACCAGGCAGCACCTCTGAAGCTGTCTGGTGTCCTGTGGCTGCACATGTGCTCTCGGTGCACAGATCTGGTTATTTAGGAAAAGCCAAAACAACCTGGGGACAAGCAAGACAAAACGGACAGAGGGCTGGACAACACCGAGGTACACACAGGGAAGGAATGGGACGGAGGCGCATGCCTGGTGGCCAGTGCCACTCCAAGTGCAAAGAGAAGGGTTCCAGAAAGTTCTGTGTGTGCAGGCCCACACTCATCTGGACGGACTCTGGCATCTGGGCCGGCCTGGCCAACTCCAGCCTCTGGCTAGCATGCTGCTCCTATGTGAATGGTCAGTCAGTGAACAAAACGTTATGAAAACCTAACAGTGACATCATGCCAAATTATGGCCCAGAGAGAACCCCAAGGAATGACACTGTGGCCTCAGAATAAGAGGGCCTGAGCCCCCAGAGGGGCTGCCGCTGACCTGTCCTGGCAGCTCCTCTGTGCTGGCCGGCCTCCTGCAGCCCTGATGTGATCATGACCGCCTGCTGAAGTGACAGCTGACCATCGGAAGAGCTTCACTTCCCCAGGGGCTGCCCCACCTCCGCCCACTGGGCCTGAGGACAGAATCTGTCAGCGAGCTCAGCTGTCCCAGAGTCGGCCCGGAGGACGTCTGGGAGGACAAGGTGCCACGACCTGTCACCTCGGGCAGGCGCATCCGGTCGCCCAATATGTACAGACATAAATTACAACTCTATTTACTGAAAATATACAAATAAATAACTTATTTTGAAGCAAATACTTTAAACTAACTTTCTGGTCACCTAGAAACGTCGAGGGGCGCGAGGGACGCTATGGAGTCGCAGGCGGAGCGCCACCTCCTCAGGACCAATGGAAGGGCTCTGTGGGACGTGGGAAGTGCGCTTCAGTGTGTGCCCTCCCCAGGAGACCATGGCTGTGATGGGGGCTACAAACTTGGGGCTGCAGACACAACCCTGTCTTCTGGAGCGGAGACCTGGCTCCAGACCCTGGCTCTGGCACCAAGAGCTGAGTCCTCAGAGGAGATTCTGAGGCCATGGGTCTCTGCCTGTACCACAAAGCTGGTCCTGGTAGTGCCCGAGGCCACCTCCCATGCACAAGACACTCTGCTGACCTCCCCCTGCCTTGGCCAAGGCCAAGACCTTAGGTTGGCCACCATCAAAACCTGGCATGGTGCTTGGCAAGGGTGGCCCCGGTCAGAAGGGCCAGAGCTGAGAAAGCTCATTTGACCTGAAGGCAGCGGGAATCTATGGCAGGTCTGATTTTCTTCCCTTTATGGAAATCAGTGTCACAGGAGATGGAGAGGTCMCAGCTTCCTGTGATGATGGGGAAACCCTCCCAAGAGAGAAGGGGTTCCCCCGTGACAGCCAGCCACTGGCTCTGGTGGAGGCTGCCCCTCCAGGCCTCCCTGCGAGGGCTCCAGCAGGAGGCCCCTGTGGTCAGTGCTGGCACGTGCTGTGGGGTGGGAACACCACGCAGCTCACGGACCAAAGACACTCCTGGCAGATGGCTTCACAATAAATTCAAGTTTCAGGGGGCCTCAGCCAAGCAGCCTCCCCGTCCTGCTACGACACTTCCTTCCTCACTGGAGACAGCTTTTCTGCTCACAGAAAGCCAACTCCAGCCCTGCGGGGCCGAGGTTGTGGCAGCAGAACTGGCCCTCCCCGGGAAGGCCTGAGGACGATGAGGCCACTGTGGCTGGCCCAGGGCCTGGGAGAGTGTGGGGACACTGCTTCCAGCCCTCTTTTCCTACGGTTGATGAGAATCCCTGGCTGTGGGTGTGGAGCCTGTGCTCTGGGGGTCCATCACCAGTGTGGGGCCTTCTGGGGGGACCACGCAGGCAGGCCGGCCTCGGAACAGGGCCAGAGTGGGCGGCCGACCAGCTCCACTTTGTCCTTGAGCACAAGCGCCCTCCAGGAGACACTGGGAAGGAGGCAAGCGGGATCCCACAGGACCTGAGAGAGGCGGCAAGCTCAGGAGTCACAGCTCAGCCTCGTGTGCTGACGTACTCCCGGCTCAGCTTGGCCCCTCAAGCTGGGGCAGACGAGAGGCTCTGAAAGGTCACCGCTGGGCCCAAGGGGCTCTAGGTCTATGACTTGCTTCCTTTCCAAAGGACGGCTCCCACCCCAGGCAGTGGACGCCTGCACAAAGATGGTGCCTCCCCCCACTACATGGCCACGGGCTCCGAACCTCAGGCCCAGGGGAAGCCTAACCAAATACTAGGGGCACTCTGCTGCCCCCCAGAGCAGAACAATGACTAACAAAACTGGACATGGAACCTCTGGAAACTCCTCAGGTCCAACTAGGTGGGACACAGAAAAAGACATTTTTAAAGCAGGTTACAGCAAGTGGCAGCTTTCCTGTCCCAGGGACAAAGCATCTGCCCACCAGGAAGAGCAAGGGCCAACTGGCTTCCCGCACGCGCTCTTGCGCCTTGGCCTCCAGCAACCAGGGCACGCAGGTGGGGGGTCCTGAGACAGGCCACGCATCCACGCCACAGCCACGAGAGCCAAGACCTGCAGCCACCCCAGAGCAGGCCGCGCAGTGCAGGCCACGGGCTGCTTGATGTCTGCAGGCTCGGCAGGGCTGGGGCTGAGCGTGCAGTCTGGCTGGATAGGTGACCTTCCGCCCTCTACAGGGTCTTTAAACAGCTTGTCATCCCTCTTCGTTTCTGTTTTTATCAAATATAGTTCAAAATCAAAGCCTCATAGTAGCTGCTCTAAAGGGCACCATGGTACAGTAGAAAGAACACGCGTGAGCCACGGCGGCTTGCTCGCAGGCCCTCGGGAGTCATGCTTGGCCACACTGGGGAGTGCATCCACAGTCGCTGCGAGGAGGCCAGGGGACATGTGCGGCCCCCATCTGAGGCTGGGTGGCCTGGCCATTTATGTGCCATTTATGTGCCATTCTTCAACTCCCACTCCTGCAGAAAAGGAGACAGCGTAAATCCAAGTGGCCAGACACTGGGCTGACAGGGCTCATGCCCGCTGGAGACCTCAAAACTGTGGGTGCTCAACCACCATGGGAAGCACCATGAGGTTCCTCAAAAACCTGAGCCTGGARCTCCCACGACAAATTCCCCCAGGCTTCACCGCCAGCCCTCAGGCAGGAGGAGCCTGAGGCCAGAGGGGGAGCAGGCAACAGAGGGTGCAAGTCCAGGCGGGGGCACAGGGCAGCCTGGAACAGAGGGCCATRGCGAGGCGTACTCCTGCTGGCCAGRGCCTCAGAGACGCCCGCAGGGCCATCACTCACTAGAGGCCGCATAGGGCCTGGTTCCAGAGCAGTGGAGCCCAGAGATGGGAGAAGGGCAGCCGGGTCAGAGAGGGGAGGGGCCAGCACTCCCCAGGGATGAGGACAGGGTGCAGATGGAAGGTGCCGAAGTCCTGGAGGTGGGGGTGCCGGGAACGTGCAGAGTCGCTCACCCTTGCACAGGAGAGTGGCAACGCCTGTTGTGCTCACTTTACCACAAGGCATGGGGGGGGGTCACGGGAACAGTCCTGCATGGGCCCCTTCTTCCACAAGCCCCACCCACTTCTGGGACACTAAGGAGCCAGAGACTCCCTCCTGATTTTGAATCCCAGTTTCTGAAGGAGGGTATGCGGGGSAGCTTGGTGACGTTCAGCACGTTCTGGCAGGAGGCTGAGCAGAGCAGGACAGCCCAGCCCGCTCTTCACCCTGCCCAGGGCTCAGGGCGCCACGTGCCTGCCCGGGGACTGGGACTCACCTTGGCCTTCCGCAGCACATGCCCCCGGCAGGGGGAGTTGCTCGCGGCTGGCTGGGTCTTCCTCAGGACGGCAGCGCTGTTCACAGGCAGGGGCCCTTCTGCGTCACTGGTGTCACAACTGGAGATGGGCGAGTTTTCCAGAGTGCGATGCCTCAACCCGGGAGACTGTCACAAAGGGGGAAGTGTGGTGTGAGAAGTGGGTTCTGGCTCCAAGGTATTCTCCAGTATTTTAAAGAAGAAATGGATTTTGAAAATGACCAAAACTAGACACAAGGACAGTAAGAGCCAGGGCCTAATCCTCAGCACCCTTTAGCCACCCTGCCACTGACAGCAGAGCTGAGGCCGGTAGGCTCCACTTGGTGGTAGTGGCCAGGACACGTGAGCRGCATCCAGAGCCAGCCCTGCCGCTCACACGGTGCTGCCTCTGGCTCCTGCATCTGCACAGCTCTCGCTTGCTCCGGGGAATCCCCAGGGACTGGCTGCCAGAGAGGCTCAGGTGGCAGCGGAGGTGTCTGGACTGGCATCAAGTTGGGAATGCAGTCACAGCGAGCCACAGGCCACTGATATTCAGGGGTCACGAACATTCAGACACCCTGCYGTGTCGGAGAGGTTTCCGGGAGACTTGAGAACAACACGCACCCTCAGTTGCCCCGGCGCCTCATTTGCCCTCCCATATAGGAGTCAAACTGCTCTTTGGGAAAACCTGCTGGCAGTCTGTTGCACCCCAGTCACAGTCTCCAAGGACTAACCCTGCTGTCATCACTGCCATGGGACGCTGCTCAGGGGCACAGGGTACTGTTTGGGGAGGGCGGTGTCTCCTGTAGCATCTGACAGCTTAGTCCCCTGTGGGCTCCATGACTGTGCATTCCTACTACACTGTGGGGCTGTAAGCAAGCTCTCCCTGGCAAAGCTTCTCGGGCTGCAGGTRGAGTGGTTGGGAAAAGGACAGAAAAAAGACATCTGTGGGAGAGGCCAGGCGGGCAACCTGCACCTGCTTCTGGAAAGCTTCCCTCTGATGAGCCACTCTTGTGCACACGGGGTCTGGAGGCAGAATGCTGCCACACCAATGCCAGGCAGGTGATGGCAACCACGGTCCTCGGAGAGGCCCTCAGAGGGCGGAGGCAGCAGCTAGCACAGCGGGCAGAGGGGCGGGCATGCACACTGCCCAGCCCTGAGCCTCTGAGAGCTGAGCTGGCTCCTGAGGCCAGAGGGGCATGTGTGAGCAGGAGGGGCTGATGAAGGGGCCAGAGAGGGGCTCTAGAGGGACAGGGATTCAGGAGTGTGAGGTTGCTGCAGGTGGAGGAAGCAGGGGACACTCCAAAGGCCTCTGGAGCTGGAGAGAGGCGAGCACTCAAGCGCCTGTGGGATCTAGAGTTCCAGAGGTCACCTGTGCAGGGCAGGCTCAGAGAGGAGTCACGCTGCAGCTGGGTTTCCAGATTTCATCTGGAAGGACAGGTGAAGCAGGCAGGGCCAGAGGGCGGCAGCCTGCGGGGAGTAGGGGAACGAGGCAGCACCCTTCGGGTTTCATGTGCCACAAAAGGAGAGGGAGCTACCAGAGAAAGGCTGGAGGTGCAGGATTCTCATGGGTGTCTGAAGTCTGGAGAGGTGGGACCCAGGGCCCAGCTAGAGGCTCCAGTTGCTACAGGGAAGCTCAGTCCCCACTGGCCGGCAATGGAGCAGTCCCCCAGCCACCCGGCCCACCATTACCCTCCAGCAGGATGGTGGCCCAGGGGTGCATGCTCTCCTGCCTCCGATCACAGACATGAGTCCCTCTGAGGCCCAGAACTCTGCAGCCCAGGGAAGACCCCTCCGCCCTCCCCACTCTCTCTGCTGCACCTGGCTTCACAGGCCCTTGGTCCTAGGTCGAGTCAGACACAGAGACTCAACACTCCAAGCCACACAGCCCTCAGAGCCTGGGTCCCACGGCACCCGGCCTCTCCATGCTGAGCAGTGTTGTGGTGGGCTTCCCCTCTTGTGAGGACACAAGTGCCCCTGGACAGGGACGTTTATCTAGCTTATTCAATGGTCGGAACAGAATGGTTTGTGACTCACTGAGGGAATAAGGTACGACTTCATATATATAGTAGCACATAACGATACACCACGTTACATATGAATTACATACAATACTACTGATATATGACCATATAAATATAATAGTAATATACAATCATACAAGCATATAATTGTTGAATGAATGGGTCAAATAAATATAATCTGCATATAATGCACTAATATGAACCTGTYGGTCTATTTAACTAAGGACAATGAATGGAGTGGGTCAATACATGAGAGCTCATGCATCCGTGCTGGAAGGACACCCTGGTRTCCACACCACTCCCCACAGCAGGCAACATTGTCACCTAGCAGATGAGAACCTGGGCTAGCTGGGCTGGGGGTAGCTCAGTGACAGAGCACCTACCCAGGAGGCATGAGGTCCCGGGACTGATCCTGGGCACCATGCACACAATGGAAGCACAGAGCCCAGGCGAGAGGGGCCAGGTGTGGAAACCCTGCCTGCTGCCCCCCAGCCTGCAGGGCTGTGGGTCCAGTGATGGAGCAGCTCCCCACCTGCTGGAATTGGCTCTGCCTAGGGGGCCATCTCTGAGGCGAGGGGTGGCCCTTGTGCTATGACAGTGGCTGGGCTTGGGGAGGAGAGTAAAGTGGCAAAGGTGGTGTGGCAGGGCTGCTGGTGGTGGCTAGGTGGGTGCTGGGTTTTGGTGGTGCCCATAAACCTGGCAAATCCACCAAATGCACATGTGGAGGGCATCGGATCCACTCCGGTTGGCCCTGTGCCAGACGCCTGGAAAGAAGAACCTGCCTTAGGAGCACTGGGGTGCAGGTGGTGGGCTGAGGGTGCACCAGCGTCAGCCGCAGTGGGGTCAGCTGCACACTGGACTCCTGAGCGGGTGGGCCTCACGCCTTTTTTGTGAAACAGAAGCAACAACACGGGGCTCACGAGGCCGCTGGGTTTCAGGCGTGGAACTGCCTGTCGAGGGGCTGGTGTAGCACCAGCAGTCCAAGGGGAGGACTCACTTGAGAGGAGATTCCATGTCCCATCAGCTCTGAGGGTCCCAGCCCGGAACCCACGCCCCCACCCCTGGGCTCCAGCACCAAATGCGCTATACGGAGTCACCCTTCTCTTAGGGATGGACGTGCAGCAAGGACCTGGTAGAAGTTTCAGTGCCGAGGTAAGAAAGTTCAGCGTCAGCAAGCCGAGGACACAGCTGACAAACATGTCCAGTGCCAACATATGACAACGTGTGAGCCTGTGTGAGCTTGCACTTCAGGGGACCTAGAGTGAACTGAGACCCACCCCAGAGCACTTCTCCRGGGGGCTCTGGCCCTTCTGTGGCTTCTGCAGGGAGTTGGCAGGACACTTACCTGTGGACTTGATGTCCCTGACTTTGGCTCAATGGCCAGCCCCAGGGTGACGCCGCCAGCCAGGGCTTTCTTCAGGCTCTCCTTGACCTCAGTCAGCTCCAGCTCCAGGCTGACCCGCTCCGCCTCCCTCTGCTTGCACTCCTCCTCCAGCTTCCTCAGTTTGTCCTCCAGGACCACCTGGGTCTTCCTGCCTGCAAGTCCAGAGTCACGCTGTCACTGCCAGGCTCTCAGGAGGGACCTCTGTGCCCACTGGCCTCCACTGGCTCCCAGCACAGCTCCCGCCCAGGCCTTGTCCAGCCTGGCTGTGCTCTAGGACAAGTCCCCTGGAACGGCTCCCCCAGTTCCAGGCACCAGCCTCTCTGCTCATGCTGAGGTCTGTCACAGTGACCTGCAGCACGCAGCATCCACGCTGGACGGATGAGGAAACTGAGTCTAAGAGGCTGGCAAATGCRCTCAGGCCCGGCCAATGCTGCCTGCACTGGGGACTCTCTTGTTGGAGGCTAAGTTCCAGGGCCTCCCTGCAGCTCACCAGCTGCAGCTCTGCAACGAGGCAGGGAGGGAGCTGCTCCCTCCTGCCAGCTCCACAATAGGCTCTGGTCCCTACCAGGTAGCCCTGGCTGGACACTCTCCCTGCCTCCTCATCCGGGGCCTGCCCTCCACTCTTCCAAAAGCGCCTCCCTCCACAGTGATCACCCAGGCTCCAAGCCAGAGAGGCCAAGCTCTGAGGAGCTGGGTGACTGTGTGTCAGCTCCAGCTGTGTGTGAATAAGCCAGTGAGAGCTTCTGTGGCCTCCCGTCCTCTGCACCTGCCCTCCCTTACCTTCTGAGGCTGGCAGAGCTGTCTGAAGAGCCAGCCTTGCCACTGTGTGGGAACTGGTCTGGCACGGTGGCATGGAGGCAGCCCAAGTCCCATCCCCAGGCAGGCACTCCTGCCAGCAGGAGAGAACAGGGTGGCCGGGTGCTCTTCTGCCTCCTGGCTCCCCTACTAGACTGCACCCTCTTTGGGCCCTTGGACCTGGCCTCCCAACCCCTACCGACACATTCTGCTTACTCCCCAGCCCCTCCAGGGAAGGGAGGGCTGCTCCCTGCTGTGAAGCCTCTGCTGTCTCCTGTGAGTGGGACCTGCCCCAGTGGAGGGTACTCCTGCTGAGAGACCCCCTGGACACCTGTTACCACAGGGCTCCGGCCCTGGGCATAGGGCTCGCCCCTGGACCTCATTGGCACCTGAGGCTGGAATGGAGCTGGAGCTGCACTGGGCAACCTGGGCTCAGGTCCAGCCTCTGCTGTGGCTGCACCTATAACCACGCAGGGCCCGCCCTGGCTTGCCAGGCCCACCCTGCACCCCAGGAGGCGTGACACAGACAGTCCCCATGACAGCCTCCATGGTCCCAGGCCTGGCAGGCAGAGCAGAAGGAAGCCCCGACCTCCCCGACCTGCATTCACTGCGATGGCGGCCCTCAGGTCCTTCCTCTCTCTGCGGAGCTGCGCCAGCCGGTCCCGCAGCGCCTCCTTCCTCTTTAGCAGCTCCTCCTCTTTGGTCTGCAAGCGCCTGGCATCCGCTTCCACCCGGTTCTTGCCATATTTGTACTGGTCAGCATCTGGCAAGCAAAGCAGCAGAGGAGTCAGGCGGCCATGGTCATGCAAAGCTGCCACCCGACAGGGAAAGAGCAGCAAAGGTTTGAACTAAGGAGAAGAGYGGCCGTTCAAATTCCCCAACACTCTTTGAATCAAATTTTTACAAATGAAATTGAATGTGGAACTGTTTTAATCCTCTTCCCTTTGAGGCACACGACTTGGAAGTCTCGTCAACAAGGTTGGAAGTTAACATTCTGTGATGTGGAAAGACAGCTGCCTATTACTATCAGGAATAATCGCTGGAATCTGTGAAGTTCTCCATATTTTTCAAAACCCTTGCCTGACCCCACCTATTCCTTATGAGTATATTTTACCCTGACCCGATGGTAGCTCTGTCCTCACCCCCAGACCAGGCCCTGGCCAGGGACCAGTCCTGTGGCAGGGTACACGGGTCAACTGCATACTGGACAGCAATAAGCCTGGAGCTGCTTAATCTCTGTGTCTCAGTTTCCTCATCTGTGAAGCTGGGATAGTAAGAGCAGTGTCACGGGGAGGTCCAGAGGGTTCAGTTGACTGATACTCATAAAGCACTGAGAACACCAAGGCACGCTCCTCAGAAACATGTGCTGAATGAAGGCGGAAGAAGCTAGCTTTGGGGAAGTCCAGAGGCTTGGCCCACATCACACCACCAGTTCACATGGCTTTAAAAGTCCCTACCCAGGGGCTGGGCTTGTGGCTCAGTGGAAGAGCGCTCGCCTAGCACACGCGAGGCCCTGGGTTCATTTCTCAGCACCACATAAAAATGAATAAATAAAGGTATTGTGACCAACTACAACTGAAAAATAAATATTAAAAAAAAGTCCCTACCCTGGCTCTCTTCCTCTTGTTACTTGGCCTTTCAACTCCAGAAGCATAGGAAGAGCCTCTTTGAGAAAGTCCAGCCCAGAGGGGAGAGCTCTCACCAAGGACCTCCAAGCTCAGAGTGGTCATGCAGAGCTGGGGTGTCTGCACTGCAGCCATGCCCTGCCCTTCACACCCACAGGTCTGACTGCTGGGGCTGGTGAGCACCTGTCTCCCCCTCAGCTCTGGTCTACGAAGCAGGAGTGAGGAGGACTGCCTGAGTTTCTCAAAATGACCTATGTCCCTACAGTGACTTCTGTCTAAATGACAGGGCTCCTGGTGTGGCACAGACACTCACAGGCAGCTCTCRTCATTCTCTGTGACAACCACTCCCCAGCCCTGTCTGTATGCACCATGGCGTCACGACCCGTGCCTACCCTGGGGGCTGGGTCCACCGCAGCAAGGCACGAGGACCCCAGCGGGGCACTGYTCCCTGATACCTGTGTCAACACTGCTCCTCAACTAAAGAAACCACAGAATGACACCAGAAGGGTCACAGCCCGAGGGCAGCTCATCACCAGGGGAGGCCACAGCTAGTCACAGCTGAGGCAGGCAGGCCAAGGGCCACTCTGCTCACTGTGTCAAGCCTGCAGCTCTCCTCTCTGGTCCCCACGCCCTAAACGCCCCCACAACCTAAAGGCAAGAGCCAAATCCAGCCAAGACAGAATGCTATTATTTTTCTCTTTTGTCAACATTAGTTGTCACCAAAGTTAATAAAAATTCCAAAGTTCTCACAAAACAACGGGTGAGCCACGCAGGGAACAGAACCCACAGGGAGCATCGAAGTGTTGAGCTCAAGGAGACTGCCCACCAGGCCCTTCTCGGCGGAGCGTCGCGGTGCCCTCCTCCCCCTGGGGAGCAGCACTGCAGTGGAGTGTGGATGCCGCCCCACACATCAGGGAAAGCAGACTTGCCAAAGGGCAAGGCCCGGTCAGCAAGTGGGTGGACAGAGCAGGTCCCAAGGAGCAGGATGTGGGTCTGGAGAGAACAGCAGAAGAGCCCCCAGGAGAGGGCACAGGCACAGGGCACAGGAGCAGTCAGGGGCGAGGCAGGTTCTGCTCTGTATGGGGCGGAGCCTTGACCTCTGGGGTGACCGCTCCACCAGCTCCACTCACAGCTTCAAAAGCTCAGCTATAAGCCCTAAGCAAGGGTGGCACACGTGACAGCAAACCTTTTCTGACAGGCCAGCTGGCTCGGAGCTCCACTTCTCTGCGTCCTCAGCCATAGATGCAGTACCCAAGGGAATAAAYGCTGCCCGGCTGGCCAGCTGGCCCTCAGACGCCTGTTCTGAGAAGGGCGAGGGCAAGTGCAAAACAGAGACGGCGATGCCGTCCAGGTTCCTCCACATAGAGAGAAGAAAACAGGCCTGTCTCAGGTATGCTGTGCCGGCTCCTGCCTCACAGGCCTCTRCCCTGTCTGCTTCCAGATCACCTGCTGTCCCAAAGCCTGGTTCTCACTTGGGCTCCATCATCCACCATGAGAGACTCAGAGATTCCTGTGCTGCTCCRAGATTCTTTCCTCATTTGGACAGTGTGGTAGGCGAACAAACCCACCCTGATAACGAGGCTCTGAGAAATCAGCAGGTGACACCAGGAACAGCTTGTCACGGACCAGGACCACCAGAGATGACAGACAGACCGGGGTCCTTGGGCTGCTCCATTACTCAAGTATGGGCACCAGCTCTGCTCTTTCCCTGCAGCGGCCACAGCTTCCCCTGACTGGGCCTGGCAGAAGGGGCAGGCTGTGTCCAGAGAGCGCACACAAMGACCAGCTGCACATGAGGAAGGGGACTCCAACCAAGGTCTCCTGACCCAAAGTCCAGGGACAAGGTGTTGCACCCACAAGTGCCTGCTGACATGGCAGGCAGCTCTGTGCTCCTCAGGCATGCAAAGGTCCCGGGGCATGGGCAAGAGGTCCTTGCCAGCTCCCACCCAGCAAGGGAAGGGCAGGCTGCACGCTGTCCCCTCTCTCCAACAGACTTCCAAGCTGACACTCTCCATGTGAGCAGCCCAGACACTCTCCACTACCCAAGCTGCAGTCAGAATCAGAAAGCAGAGCATCTGGTGGAAACTCACTTGAAGCCGTCCGTCTCACGCTGGCTGCAGAATCCACTTTTTTCTGCTGACTGCTGGGAGCCTTCCCTTTCCCAGGAACCCCATTAGATGCCACGGGGGGCTTCTTCCCCTTGAGCTGTTGAAATAAACAGAAAATAAAAAACAAAACAAAACAAAGCCCTATTTCTTTCCTATGGAAATTTCTCTGGCTCTCTGACTCTGTGGAACCCAGCTCGGTCAGAGAGAAAGGTGGTAAGGAGACCGACTTGGCTTCAGACTCCAGACCATGTGGCTTCCTGGGAAGGCTAGGGAGGCCAGAGGGTCCTCCAGGAAGCGGGCGGGAATGCTGRGCAGCTCTGGCCTCACCGGGACCATGCCCACTGCTGAGAAACGGGCATGGCCTTCAGCTGGGGCCACTGAAGCCTGTTTCCAAAGCGGGTACTTTTCAGGGTGGGAGCATGACTACACTGCTAGGTTTCTGCTTCAAGGACTCTTAACTGAGTGACAGTCTAATAAGACAGGTGACTGCCTTCTGAGTCACTGGTGGGGAGGGGGCAGGGATGCAAATGACACATAGTGTAGAAATAGTCTGAGTAACAGAAAATAAATCTGACCAGCTACAAATTTTTTTAAAAAAACTGAATAGTGCCCCACTTCTTCAACTGCTGCAGGCCAAAGGACTCTGTTTGGCAGAGGTGATGCCATGCCACTGAGGCCTGACTCCTGTGTGACAGTCAGCTGTACGCTGGCCCTTGCTTTCTACTGTGCCACCTCACCTGCTGCCATGGGCCTGGGTGTGGGGAGGCCCCGTCATTGAAGAGAAGCTGAGCAAGCCACTAAAGCTTTCTGAGCCTCTGTTTGATCACTCAAGAACATAAAAAGGTACGGGCACCTCCCTGATGGGCTCCCAAAAGTTTGAACGACACAGCACAGACGCACGGCAGCTCGTGCACGGTCTTGCCAGGGGCCAGAAGGCTCCCCCTACCGTGGGCAAGTGAGGGAGGGAAATGGGGTACTCTTTTGACTTATAGTGCAAGGCTCACTTGAAACAAGAGCTTGAACAACAACAATGTGAAAGCTCCACGCGCTGACCATGCACCAAACGGTCCCCAACCTGGAGACAGTCTGAGTATGCAGGTGGCATGTCTCACTGCCTGTTTTTACCTCAGGGAACTCCAATGCCAACACAAAGCAGATAGATACACGCATAGGTAAGTTTCACTTAGTAAATGAAACATGTTAACCAGAGTTTTGGCACAAGTACTCGTGAAAATAGTGGAGGACCATGGTGCTCACACACTGGACGCTCACACTCCTGGAGTCGGAATCTCCAGGAGGCCATCTGGGCACATGTCGTTGGTGGCCAAAACGTTTCCTTGGGGAGTTTGATGAGCTAGTCCCTTGGGAGGTGTCTGTCTGAGCACCACTGTCTGAAATCCTCGGCCCTTACCTGGTCCCATCATTTCTTAAGGTCACCCTCAGGACGGAGGGGATACATAGCTCGCCCCGTACTTGCTTTACGTGAGGAGATGCATAGCTCGCCCCGTACTTGCTTTACGTGAGGAGAGTTCTCTTAATGGGTGCTCAGGTCTCCAGGGAAAGCAGAGGAGACTTTAGGCTGGGAATGCACACCACGCAGCACCTGCCCTGCAGCACTGCCTTGCCGCAGACAGAGTGTGGCATGGGCGGCGCTCAGCCTCCAGGCTGCTTATCAAGCAGTGGTCCTCGCTGCTGGCTGCAGGAGCAGGCCTCACATTCACGCCAGGACACATACGGCGCTTGAACAGCACCCACCCATGCCAAGGTCAAAAGCCAGAGCGGACCCCTGCTCCTTCATGCTGCACAGGATACTACTGAAGCTGCGAGTCAAGAATCTGGAAAGCTTGGCTGCCCTGTCCTTCCCCGGACCTTTGTCTTTTGTTGACATGATTCTCAAAATTCCACTGGGGCTTTTCCAAGAGTGGAAAGAGAGCCTCAATGCCCTGAGCACTAACCAGCACTGCTCACTGCTCCTGGGGCCGCGCTGCAGACTAGGCTCTAGTGGAGGAAACGCCCACGCTTTGTGCCCTAAGGGTGGGAGCTGGCTGCAGGGCTGGCTGCGGGGTGACCCTGGGGACAGGGGGTGTGGTGCAGTACCTGGGAGTGCAGCCCGAGAGACGCCCTCCCCACAGCAGAGGTGTTAGTGAGAGACGGAGAGCAGGGTGGGCCGCAGGAGGTGGGGGCCTTGCAGAGGTTAGAGGACAGCTTGTCAGCGGACAGCCTGGAGGCCCTTCTGTCAGCAGGACAGGAGCGAGCAAAGATTTTCGGAGACGGCAGGTTATCGTAGAGGCCCTCGTTATCATAGAGCGCCTCTTCGCCTGGGCCTCTGCTACCGGAGGCGGGGAAGCCGTCGTCCGGGTCCCACTGGAACACACAGCTCTGTCGTTAGTGACCCAGACACAGGAGAGAGAGCAGACTTTAGCACAGTGAGACAGCGCACCCCGAGACACAGGTGTTGCCAATACAGCACCCCCACACACAAGCAGGTGGACACACTCAAAAGAATCCCTTTACTTCTAGGGTTTTAGGGAAGGTTTCTTTCTCCTTAAATCCTTATGGTGCTTTGTTTTTTTCTTCAAGGCAGAAAAAAAACACTGCTTGGAAACTTCCTTCTTTAGAAGACTGGAGTTTGGAAGTCCCCTAATGCAGGACCTGAACGTGGCAGGAAGGGAGGAATGGACACTGCCCCAGGAAGGCGTGAGAGCCGCTCCGGGCTCCTTCCCTATGCACACACACTGGCTGCCCTGGCCTCCGCCCACCTGAGGAAGTAGGGGAAGCCCAGCCAGAGGCCGGTCACAGCTAGTTGGAGGCAGAGCTGGACTCGGGGGCGCTCGTGGCTGTATGCCACAGCACTGATGAGCCTTGGGCTCTCCTGGGGGACGAGGGCTGGAACTGAGAGCACCAGGCTGCTCCACGCTTGCCCTAACATGCCGAGGACCTCAGGTCACGGACACTGTCCACAGGCACCATGGTGCCAATGCTGTTATGCCTGAAGAAAGTACCATAAGCAAAACAGTCCCTTAGAAAGGGAGTGGCTGCACRGAAAACAGGTGCTTCAGAACCTGACGAAGACCACGGTGTTCAGCAGACACCTGGAACAAAGGACTCAAACAGGGACAAGCCACCTCATGGGACAGAGACGTCTACAGCACGGACACTGAAGTATAAATAAATACCAAACTCAACCCTGCGGGGCCCTCCAAGTCCTAACGGTCTATATACATTGCCTTGCATTTTWAAAAAGGGAGATAATAATTCACATGTTCTGCTCATTTTACCCTGTTTTTATGATCTTCCTGCAGAGTTCCTTTCTGCCAGACGGTAATTACAGCCTTTTGTTATAAAAATAGCAAAGATTTAAATTCCACAGTGGGAGTGTTTATATCCCTCTGCAGTCACTTCAGTGTGTCTATTTCTGTGATGCAGGGACCTAGGCACAATCTAAAAATAATGCAGATCAATTTGGATGTGAGCATTTGATAAAGACAACCTAGCATAGATTTATATTTGTCCAGAATTATTAAATGGTCTAGACTAGAATATCATCTTCTTAAAATACCAAGCATTAAGTCACACAGAAGACTTAAGGAAATAGCAACTGCAGAAACCYACAGAAGTTTCCAGATTAAAAGTGAGCAAACACTGAGGGGAGGCAGGATAAGAGCCACTGAAGTGGCCGAGTATTGGGTTTGAACTCTGTGGAGCCCTCTGAAAAGGAAATCACTTGGAAATCACCAGCAGCAGAAAAGCAGGTTAAAGGCGGAGCAGAGGAAGCTTCAGTAAGCAGRGAGGCCGCAGGACGCTGCCTAGAAGCTCCTGCTGTCAGCCCAGCAGGGACCTGGGCACAGCGCCTAGGCATGCAGATCCTGGGAAGGAAGGCTGGCCCTCAGGAGGTGGAGCTGTGATGCCCTGGGGAGCTTGCTGTCACCCCCACCCAGCAACCAGCCTGCGGGAATGGTGGGGACAGGGGGCACCGTGCAGTCCYGGGGACCTCCGCCTCCGCTCACCTCACACTTTCATGTGCAAGGCACACACGTGAGGAGCACCCGAGAGAAGGGTGCGTGAGGGGCCTTGCCAGGGGCTCGGGAGACAGGGTGGGCACTGTCCTTCCAGAAACGCTGGAGGCCGAGTCCAGAGACTCAGAGAAATGGCCCACCCTCAAGAGGACAATTTGGACACCAAAGCCCAGAACCAGGGACAAGTCCATTGTGCCAAGAGACACTATTGACCACACAGGGCCAATGGAGGCCACAGGAGCTGAGGTCCCACCTTGATATGATACAGCAGCCCAAGCTAGAGCCTCACCCTGTCATGGTTACCACTATGTGGCTCCTAAGGCTGGCACAGGCCTGCCCACAGGGCAGGAGGGCATAGGTTAGAGTGGACAGCAGGAGTCCCCAGAGGCTGAAGTCCAGGGCGTAGGAACAGGGCAAGGGGACTGACCGACCCAACTCCCCACGATGGGGGCTGTGCCAAGTGGGCTCTGCTCATCCTGTGACACCCGGTCCTAGATGGGCCTGGGCCCAGCCATCAGTCCCAGCTCCTGCTTCAGTCCTAGGTCTCCCTACACTAGACTGGGGCCCTTGAGGACAGGGACAAGATCGACCCACTTCCTTTTGCCCGAACAGAACCTGCTCACCAGGAGGCTCTGAGCAACAGGGAGGGGAGAGGGGCAGGAGGAGGAAATAGGAAAGGATGCCAGGCCCCTCCAGGCCAGAACTCCCCAGACGGCCTTGCCTCTGACAAAACCAACCGTGGACTCTCAGGGCACACTCACCGAGCCGTTGATGCAGGGGACGTCATCGTAGTGCAGGGCTGTCCCACTGGGGTGAGCGTATCCATTGGAGGTGCTCCCTAGGTAGGGGCTGGTGGACACCCCACGCCTGTTCATGAAGCTGAGAAAGAAGGGAGAGTGAACACGCCCGCCTGCCTGTTTCCCTCCCAGCTGCACCAGCACTCAGTGGCCCAGGGGCCTCAGAAGGCCCAGGCAGAGGCAGGACGTCACCTGCAGGGCTGGGCCGAGCCCTCGCCTGCTTAGTCAGGACGGGCCCATCTGACACACCTGCGGCGAGGGCCAGTGGTGGTGAGTGCACAGGTTCACCCAGCAACCACCGTCCTCTGTGAGTCGGCCAGCCTGCACAGCTGAAAAGAAAGCCGCACCGGAGCCAGCTGGAGGCTCTGCTGACAGGCCGTCTCAGTCCCTGATCTCCGGAGGGCAGAGGACCCAGGGCCTGCAGAGCTGAGGCACCACCTGCCTGTTTCCGGGAGAAGCCCGTGGACTGCCTTCTAGGCTCTCCACACGCTGTGCCGAGACGCGCTCTATCCCCACCACTGCACAGCACGCCTTCGCTTGGCCCTGACCTTCCCAGGCCCTGTGGTGGCCACAACAACCTTCAGAAGGTGCCACTGTGGGAAAACATATGCTGGGGACTTTGTCCCCATTCCTGGCCAGAGCTTCTCTAACCATGGAACTCCTGAGTGACAAGAGAAGGGAAAGGCCGCCTTTTATTAGTCACGAGCCCTTCACAGCCCCTGGGGTTCTGTGAATGAGACCTCCGGAGCGCCTGGAGGACGGAGGCAGTCACCAAAGGAACAGCCACATGAGCCCAGGTCGGAGCTCCCCGCCCCCAGGGCAGAACAGTCCTGTCCACCTGGAGAGCAGGCCGAGGGCTGGGGCTGGGCGTGCAGGGCGGGCATGGAGCCCTCTGCCGCGCTGTGTGGCTGCTCCGGGCTGCAGCCTCTCAGGACACACGAGTGAACCAGTCAGTGCACTGGAGCTGGCCTTCTAATCAACAGTGGGGCCAGAGCTGGCTTGCAGAGCCTCAGATCACCGCTGGACTRTCAAAGGACTGGGACAGTCTGGATACTGAATGACATTCCCTATGGTGTGGTCCTGGGGCTGGAGCCCTCACCCACAGGGCCTTTACTGTGCCCAGGTGACACTGCCAGACTTGAGCACACTGCAGGACGCCCAGCCAGCGTCCACAGAGTGAAGGAGAGCTGCCTGGCCCAGGAAGGGCACTCACACTTGGCAGACAAGGGGCAGAGCGAGAGCACCTAGGGCGTGGGAAAAGGACGCAGACCAGACGTGTGTCGGTTCCCAGTCCACTCAGGGCTCCAAAGTTGCCCAAGAAAGTCCCAAGTGCTTCCCTGAGAAGGAGGCAGCGCAGGGCTTGCCCTGTCTCCCTCCCGCCTTCCCAGCCTCGGGGGCGCCAACTGCTCTCGGCTCACCAGGCACCTCTGGCCTCAGAGTCACTGTGGCCCTTCTGCCTAGGAGCTCCTCTCAGATGGCTCACGGGCCTGCCTGTGTGGGCCACCTGTCCCACGTCCCACCACAGCACCACGAACCCCCTCCACCCCCTTCCTCCTCCCTCTCTCCACCACCTGGCCTGCCGGTGGTGTTTACTGGTTTATCAGCTGCTTCTCGCCACTAGAGGACCAGATCTGGGGGAAMGTGGCCTTGTCAATCTGGGCACTCCAGAGACACACAGGGTGTTGGCAAGCTGTGCTGACTGAGGCTGGCCTCTCAAGAGGCTGCTTGTTCTAGCAGAAACCTAAGTGCCTGGGAAAGACAAGCTCGAGAGCATCTGCTCCTAATCGGGAAACTTAAACCAGCCTAATTTTAAAAAGGGATKTTATTTTCTTCATAGGATCTTGCACTTCTATGGTCACCAGATGAAAAATAGCAGGAGAAATTCAGGGTTAAGGAAAGTGCCTCCCAAACCAACTAGGCTGCAAGTTCCGAGGCCAGTGGGGGACCTGCCCAGGCCTGTGGGTCCCCCTCGCGGAACGTGGCTGCCCTCTGCTGGGCAAAAGGCAGCCATTGCATCACCAGCCTGTGTGAAAGCAGCATGGGAGGAAAGCCACGGCTTAGCACTGTTCAGAAAATYGCTGTGACCTTGTGGCCGCCTGGACGCACACCTGCCAGCACACAGGCTCTCTCCAGGAAACCTAACCTGTCTTTTTCCTTCACTCATAAAAAACTGATACRAGTAATCTATACTTAAAATACACATAAGTCAATGTAGGAAAATATAATGCATAGGAAAAGAAAAATACAAAAATCTCGGAGATCTGCAAGGGCAGATGTGACTTTTAAGCACACATTGAAGGATCTCTCATGGGAATGCCTCTCTTGAGGTCTGACCATGTCAAGGTGATCTGGACACTTCCTGTGAGTGGGGACAACACAGTGGTGCCAGGTGGCATGAAGCCCAGCTGCATGTGCACAGCTGCACGCTGACTCAGTGACAAGTATGAGTGTCCCCCTCATGGCAGGGGCTCTCCTACTGGTCTGTGGCTTTGGCCTCTGGTGCCCTCCAGCACAGATAATAGGAGGACAGCAGCCCTCCTTCCTTGAATGAGGAGAACCCACAGGATGGTTTAGGAAGCCCTTGGCAGGACGGGGAGTATCCGAACTCAAGGTCACAGACACAGAATGTCCCAGGTGGCAGACACCTCCTCCACTGGACAGTCCCCCCAAAGTTACAGAGAGGGACCTGGGTCAGGGAGCAAACTCCAGGCCAAACAGCACATGGGGCCAAGGACAGGCATTAGGACCACGTCTTTGGTTACTACTCTTTCTGTGATGATTTTCAGCCATATATAAAGTGGAAGTGAGCAAAGCCCATAGGAAATACCAGGACACAACATGCGGGAACCCGGAGAAGGTGCCTGCAGAGGACAGCTCCCCGGGCGGCTGCTCCCCTCTGCCGGAATCAACCTCACCTCGGGACAGCCATCCGGGGGTCTGTGACCAGGCACACTTTCAACAGGTTCAGGAGAAAACTTCCCAACATGTCCTTTGTGTCATTCACTTGAAACTAGGCCCTCAGGGGAAACGCCCCAGCCCTTTACCACCCCTAACATCCTGGGGATGCATCTTCTGGGAGACTCTGTCATTTTTTCCTTTTCTGGCCCTTTTCCAAAATATATTATTGCCTTTCTCCCTCTGTGGAACAGAAATCATGCCATCAGGAGACCCACCGCCCTGACACCAGGGCACTGGCTCGTCTTGCACATGGGTGGCCTCTCGCCTGGCATCCCTTATGAAGATCTTTCAACTGGTGACACTTTACTGTTCAAAACCACTAAAACTATCACACCGGGTTTTGCTACTATCTCTTTAGAAGGGTTCTTGCCTACTTAAAAGCCACTGAGCTCACGGCCAGGTAGAATGTGCAAGGGCATGTCTCGGCCATGTGCTACCACCTGATCCTGGGGTGACGCCTGCAGTGCCACGTGTCTGCAAGTCACGGTGGCCTGCCTACTGCCTTTTCAAGAAAAATGACAAAGTTTTAAAAGGCAGCCATCCACTGACGACTCTGCTGGAGAAGAGCGCCCCCTGGAGTCCACCACAGGGCTCTGCATCGTGGCCCCACAGGGCCTCCCAGGGCAGCCCTGGCATAAGAGACAGGAGCTCACAGTCTCCCAGCTGGCCTTACAGAGAAGGACACCCTAAGGGAACCCAGTGTCTCCTTGGCTGAGCAAGGGAAGGGGCAGGGACGAACGCCGAGAGCACAGTGCAGAGGAGCTGCCTGCCCGCCTTTGCCTCTGCATCACCAGCCCATGTGACAGCAGCGTGGGAGGACAGGCACAGCTCTGCACTGTTAGGAGAGTCTCTGCAGCCTTGCAGTTGCCTGGACGCACACCCAGAACTGCCGCTACAGAGCTCCTTGCCATCACTGTGTCAAGGAAATACTCAGGGTTCAGAAGAACGTCTCGGCACAGAACGGCACTTCTTTAAAAACAGGATTTAGACTTCAGATAAAATCAGAATTTGAATTTACATAAAGCACTAGAGTGAGGGCTTTATATCCTGGTCTTCATTCCAGTGATGCAGAGTCAGTTCTGTGGAGAGAACCCACACAGGGGTCCGCAGAAGGCCCACAGGCCAGACCCAGCCCGCTGACTATTTCTGCAATACTTCTGTGGGTGGCACGGCCTCCCCATTCACTGGTGTATCAGCTCTGGCTACAACAGCAGGGCTGAGGGGCCCACAGAGTCAGAACCATTTACCATGCCGTCCTTTATCCAAGTTTGCCGACCCTTGATCCAGTAGAAGTCCCAGAGGGTTAAAGTGATAAAAATGCCCAGCAAAATCAGGGTTACCATAGTCAAAGAGCGCGCGCCTCAGGGCGTGCGTTTGTTGGTCTTCACACTCAGGCAGCCCAGGTGGAGGGGAAGAGGAGGGAAAGCAGCCGCTTAGCTCCAGCACCATCCGCGGGCGGGGTCTTACCAGAAGGTCTGCTTGGCCGTCTGAATGATGTTTGCAGACATCTCCACGTCTATGTAGTCGTAGTGCAGAGCTCCCGGGTCTGTCGACGACCCCGTCTCAGCCAGCAGGACCCCAATCCACCTGCCCATGTCTTCAGAAGAAGAGGCCTGCAGGGGAGGAAAAGCGCTTCACTGAACTGAAGGTGAACCCTTCCTCCATTCTGAAAACCTCATCCAGAGAGACCGCAGGACAGGAAGGCAAGGCAACACCGAGTACCAAAGGCAGAGTGTGAAGGAGCACCAACTGAGAATCCACCCAAGGGGCGCCTGGCGCGGCCTTCAGGCCACCTTTACGCAGGGCTTCCAAAACAGCCGTAGAAGGCAGGCAGCAGGCCTGGTCCTGAAGCGCTCCTGCTTACTTGGGCGAAAGGCCCAGGTGTCAYGATGTGGAGAGGGACGTGACTCAGTCAGTCCCAGCTAAAGGGAGCGGTTTCAGAGCCTCGTAGATGGCACAGGCAGGCTCTGACCCTTGCCCTCCAGCTCCTGTGGCCTGGAGTGGTCTGGGTCTCTGGACTAGAGGGTTTAAAACTCAACCCACTTTATGGCCGACTGTTTCGCAGTGTCACTCTGTTTTGCAGCTGCCAGGCTGTACTGAATGTGCCATTTGTAAGACGTTTGTAATCCCCACCCCCACCTGAACTGCTTAATCTGTAAGAATGAAATATGACTTTAAGTTTATACTCATTAAAAATTCAAGTTATCCTTGTTGAGTAATTTAGAAAATCAGTTATGTTACATTTTTAAATAAAATTTGACTAATTAAGTATGTCAGAATAACTAAAGCTTAGGGAGAGTTCAGTTATTAATTTATGAGTTGACTAGAGCCAGGTAMGGTGGTGGTAGGGGACAGACAGGTGTGAATGGCAAGAGCAGGAGGTTAAGAGAATAATCCTATAACATGGGCCTGCTGTGCCGACCCCCACATGCTTTCTTTTCTAAGAAGCAATTCATCTGCAGCCCTGCCTGGCTCATGGACCGGATATATCACATTCCTCAGCAAACTACCTGTCAACTGCGGGATGTCAATGGGAGAGACCCAGATTTTTGTGATCTGATCCTGAAACTCAGGGAGGTAAGGCTAGAACCTCCTAACCATAAACTGGTAAGAATCCACTCAGAATTGGTCAGCGTGGCCAGGTGACCTAGAGCTGCTGACAGGGGAACTGGAAAGTCTGATGTCATCCTGCTGTCGGTTAAAAGTCAGGAGGACCTGGGCGGGCCGCTCTGGAAACTTCCTCGGGACCCAACAACCTGGAGAGCAGGAGAAGCACACTGTCCCTCTCCTCTCTGAAAGGACCCTCCCCTTTCCCTTTCCCACCCCTTCAGTACACTCAGGCCTGCTACTCTGAGTGAATGTCTGAAAGCTTTCTGACTTGATGGCAAGAATCAGGGCTTGAAGAGGGGGTCTTCACACTGCCTCAGTTTCTCAAAAGGCCCCATCTCYGTAACAGTGGCACACACCTGTAATCCAGGTTACTTGGAGGCCAACCTCAGCAACCTAGTGAGGCCTTATCTCAAAATTAAAAAAAAATAAATAAAAGGAATGTAGCTCAGTGGTAGAAAGCCCCTTGGTTCAATTCCCAGTACTGCCCCAAACAAACAAACAAAACCTTATGAGTTAACTGAATGTTAAAGAAAAAAATATTTTTTATAAATAATGGTAATTATTATTTTTTAGATATTTTTTAGTTGTCATTGAACACAATATCTTTATTTTGTTTGTTTATTTATTTATTTATTTATTTATTTATTTAATGTGGTGCTGAGGATCGAATCCAGGGCCTTGCATGTGCTAGGCGAGCGTTCTACCACTGAGCCACAATCCCAGCCCCTACTATTATTTTATTAGTGTTATTATTCGGTACTAGAACTTGAACTCAGGAGCACTTAATCATTGAGGCATATCACTAGCTCTTTTTAGTTTTTATTTTGAGACAAGGTCTCACTATGTTGCTTAGGGCCTTTCTTAGTTTCTGAGGCTGGCCTTGAACTTGTGAACCTCCTGCTTCAGCCTCCCAAGYCTCTGGCATTATAGGCATGAACCACCATGCTTCATTTAAAAAGAAATCTAAAAATTATTTTTTTAAATGAAGACCTATAAATTGAGCTTAAAGAAGCTTGGGTTTTATAATTATATTCCACACCACAAACAAAAACCTCTCTGGAGGAAAAGCCATTAGTAAAGAAGAAGGTGTYTTGGAGATTGATCATGTTGGCTGGTAACTGATGTTTTCCACACAACAAATCATTCCTGACCAGGACCAGAGAGGCCATGAGGAAAAGTGAAGGAACTCCAGCTATGTGCTAGAGACGGTGCTCAGTGCTCGGTGGATGAAGATCAACTGACTCCAACGCTCCGGTTCGTTCTCTTTGTAGGTCTTTAGTCCTTCTCCAAACAAAATCTATATCAAGAAAGCACTGGCGCGGGGTGGGGCGGGGGCTCCGGTGGAGCGCTTGCCTGGCATGTGGGAGTACCAGGTTCGATTCTCATCACCACATATAAATAAATAAAATAAAGGTCCATCAACTAAAAAAAATTTTTCTAAAAAACCAAGAAAGAGCGGGCGCTGGGCTGAGGGGCAGCTGGTGGGAGAGCTCACCTGAGCCTGCCAGCCCTGGCTCCACCACTGGCAACAATGTAGCCTCGGCCACTCTCCAGCTACCCCCTGTGTYTCACAGAGGAGCTGCCAAGTCCTTCCACACAAGGTCTAGGGCGTGACAGGTACTGTTACACCACGGTTCACTCATCATTTTCCTCATAGTCCATTTTATGAAATTTCCTCATAGTCCTTAAAAAATAACCCTGTGGTATTGGACTGGAATCGGAGGTACTAGTCATGATCTCACCGGTTAAAATAATAGATCAGACRGACATGTAGGTGCCTGGTTCTGGCCATGTGTGTGTAGATGTGTGAGCAGTGCCCAGGTGGCCCCCTCCCCACGCAGGGCCCTCGCTGTGACGACGCCAGCGGGGGAATGAGGGGAACAAGGTCTGAACCAATCGGGGTAGAAAACAAGTCAATGTATCACATAAACATGTATGAATGTGCGTGTTTATGATCTGCACATGCACACCTATTTCCTGAGTGTGTCTACTCAAGGGCCCAGAAACAGTAGGGCCCACAGCAGCGAGCCCGCCCGGCCACAGCCCTGGCTTCCTCACACCCCTCTCCACTAGGAGGCACTGAGGCCTCTGCAGGGAGGTGCCCACCTGGGCAGGGAAAGCACCACCCCCTGCTGCGACACACAGAAAGTGGCCCAGGATGGCGGGGACCACCGTCTCCATTACAGGGGCACAGCAAAGGACACAGGAGCCAGCGTGCAGGGCATTTGACCAAAACTAATCATGACAAAAAAAGGACTGCCATGGCTAATTAAAGTAACAGTCTGTGGGGCTGGGCATGGCTTAGCAGTAGGGCACCTGCCTACCAGGCTCCAGGCCCTGGCTGGATCCCAGCACCACCCAAGCAAATCAGACAAGTAAACAAGCCAACGAAGAGCAGTCTATGAATGGCCACCCACACAGCAAGGTAGCTGAATGAATGAGTAATGAATGAGTTGGAGTAAGGGGAAATCCAGAAGGAACAATGGAACTGAAAACTCACCATTTAGCAACTGTCGTTATAATGACTGTTTCAGGCAAGTCATTAGCAGATTCTAAGATTAGTGGGTGAAATCCACTAATAACAGCACAGTCACACGCCTCAGAGGACCTTCCCACGTGATAATTAATGAAGACAAAGGAAAATGGCAGTATCTCACGAGAGGGAGCCCTACACGGGTCACATGAACCCAGGTAGCTGAGCCGGTCCTGATGGGACGCACTGTGGGATGTCGCCACTTCCAAGGGCTCCTGCCAAGGAGGGCCCCTATTCCTACACAAGGTGGCAGCAAGCATGCGTCACAGGAGGGACCTGCTGTGCCCTGCAAAAGCCCCACCRTGGTGAGAGCGGTCGGGGGCTGGACCCCGGCAGCGGGTGCAGGTGGACTTCCTTCTGCCCCTCAAACATCAGAGCTGCTGGGAAAGTCCGACTGAGGTCTAGGAGTTGGACGGGAGGTCTGTGTGTGGCGGTTGCTGATCTCAGAGTCATTCTGTTGCTCGGGGGCAGATGGCCCTTGGTTTTGGCAAACACACCCTCAAGCACTCAAAGATAAAGGGGTGGCTAGGGAGGCTTCCCGAGTCCCCATACACGGACAGAAGACTGGGTGGAAGGTACTCGGGCACTCTGTGCTGCTCCTGCAACGCCGTGGCAAACCCGGAGTTACCTCAACACAGAAGGAAGTGGCCCTGGAGGAGCGCAGTGCCGCCTCGCAGGCTGGCCTGCAGCTGGTGACTGGCAAAGGCAGGGCCAGCTGCTCCTCCTGGGGTGCTGTGGCGCTTTGTTCCCGTCACTCTAAGTGATACTGCTAAGACTTCACATTCTTACCCTCATGCTGGGTACTCAGACCCTCCTGCTTCTCAAGGACTGAGCTTCCTCCAGAGCCTGCACATCTGGAAGGTGTGCCGCCCGGCTTCTCTCAGGGCCTGCAGAGGGGCTGCTCACCAACCCCGGGACTCGGCCCCACTCGTCCAGGCCCCCTCCACTGGACACGGAGCCCAGCTTCTCACTCTGCTTAGGGTCCAGTGCCACCACCCTGGGACTGCTGCCAGAGCTCGGAGGAGACCCACATCCCGACCCTGGGAAGATGGCCTCCTGGCCTGTTTTCAGCTTCTCTGGGCCGCCACCACCCGACAGGCTTCAGACCACATTGTGCTTAGGAGGGCACCGACGTTCTACAGACCCACAGGGAACAGCCCACRCAGGCTCAAGGTCCGAGGAGGAGCCAGGACTGGACCTGCCTCCTGAGGGATAAAGCCTGTCTGCAGGAGTGGCCAGAAGGGGGCGCAGCCAGGCCTCCTGGCCTGTCCTGCCTCAAACTAGGGGCAACTGAACCTGTGGCCAGAAACAACGATCCATCTGTTTCTGAGCAGTGCCAAAAAAATAAAGCAGTTTCTGTGAAAACAGTCCCTGAAACCAACTCCACCTAAAGTTCAAGATCATGCCGACCGCCTGACGGGGCACCTCACTCCTGGTCCTAGCCCTAGCCACTTAGGCTTTGGCACCCTGTTTGGCACCCCCAGCCCCTCTGCAGGCCCGAGGCAGCCTCACTGCTCCTGACCAACAGACACGCTCACCCAGACTCTGGAAATCCTGCACCTCGACAGCCTTGGCACAGGCACACYGCGTGCCCAGGTGGCCCCCACCCCACGCAGGGCTCTCGCTGTGACGACACCAGCRGGGGAATGAGGGGAACAAGGTCTGAACCAATCGGKGTAGAAAATAAGTCAATGTCACAAGAGGAAAAACAATTTTTTTCAGAAATGAACATTTTGAGGATGTAGGTATTATTTTAATTATGTTTTTCTGCTTTTGGTAAATGGACAAATATCATTTGCTGGTGAGTCAAACAAATAATAAAATGCATACAAAGTCCGTTTATAACTCAAAGGTGTTCTTGGTTCCTGTKTCACTGGCTCATGGCCCTGTCTTCATGGCCACAAGTGGCCCCAAAATGCCTGTTCCGCAAGGAATTTTTAAAGGACAAGTTCAACACTACCATTGCAAAGGCAGCCCATTGTCAGAAGAAAAAGGTTTATTTTGGGGGGGTACCGGGGATTRAACTCAGGGGCACTCAACCACGGAGCCACGTCCCCAGCCCTATTTTGTATTTTACTTAGGGACAGGGTCTCAGTGAGTTGCTTAGCATCTCGCTGTTGCTGAGACTGGCTTTGAACTCGCAATCCGCCTGCCTCAGCCTCCGGAGATGCTGGGATCATAGGCGTGCGCCACCATGCCCAACAAGAAAAAGGTTTTAAGGGAAATCTTACAAGTTATTCCTGGGACACTTAGGAGAAAAGCCATCCACTCTGTGGAGCTCTGTGTTTAATTTCTGTGCAAACATGTGCAAGGAGTCACGGGGGATAGGCCTGAGCTGCACAACCGGCAGAGCTTGGCTCTGTGCTGCTGCCTTGTCCGGATCGCAGACAGAGCCACCGAGAAGAAGAGGGGTCAGAGACAGAAAGGCAGCCCTGCCAGACGGGAGGACGCTGGGAGAGACAAGGAAGGGAAACCATGGCGAGCCCCAGAACACCGTACCTCCAACACAGCGACCTCCTGTCCATTGCGAAGCAGCCGGAAGGTCAGCGGGTGCTTGGAGTCCAAGCCTGGGATCACCTCACAGCCACGGAGGGGAATGGACGCRACGTGGGTCTTCAGGTCAGTCCTGTCCTTGTGGAGGACAAGCTTGTTGTCCCTCACTCTGCACCAGCGCTCCCGCCAGCGGTTGTTGGATAGCACGTTCAGGTAGCCTGCAAGAGACCGGGGAGCTCAGCCTCCAGGAAGGAGGACACGCCCCTCACAGGCAGGGCTCTAAGGCAAACTGCTCAACAGGAGGAGCTGGTGCACCACACAGCGAGTCCCCCACAGGACAGCAGAGCCACACCCAGACGTCTCCCGTCCTGGTGCTCAGAACAGGTCCTGGTGCTTGAGGCCTATTTGGGAATCTGGAAGTCATCTGGAGGATGTGACAGTTGCTTAGCCCCTGGGCTTGGGATGGCTGGAAGGAAATGGGGACACAAGCTGCCTTCATGTCACCACAGGGAGGACATGCAAAAGGACACAGCTGCAGGTGCCACAGCAGGGTAGCAGCCGTGGGAAGGCGGGAGGGGGGCAACATGAGGGAACACACCATGGAAACTTGTCACAGGAGGCCCGGAGGTGGGCACTTCCTGACCCTGGACACATTCCAGCAAGTGGTGGAGAGCAGAGGGCAYGACACTCCCGGCCACAGGCCGTGAGGGACACAGTGCCCCCCCCCTCCTCCAGCTGGCTCGAGATGCACGTGGCTGTGAGGGGCGGGGGCGGAGCCAGGAGGCCCAGTGCACAGGGGAATGCTCCTGCTGCTCCTCCTCACCGCTAGGCGCTGCCACCTGCGAGGCAGTAGCCCGTTGTTTAAAAGAGAAACTCCTCAAATACGGGACGTGAACAGCCTTCAGTTGTTATAAGCACAAGATGTATTTCTCTAAAAATAACAAAGCCTGAGGAATAGACTCCAGGAGTTGCTGTGACCTCCAGCCCCCCCAAATGCTGGGAAACTGCTGCCCCTCCTTGAAGACTAGAGAGTTGAGTCAAAGAGCTCATAAGATGCTGACGAACAGCCTGGAAAGAAACAAAACCCGGATCCTGCTCATGCCGCTCCACCACCACTGCATGCACACGCACGAAGACGCTCACGCGTGCTCACGCGCACACGGCCTGGCTCAAAGGTGTTAAGAAAACAACACAAATCCTTTCTAATCGTGGTTTTCAAAATGTCTTTCCAAAGGCTTGGGGGGTGCTTTCTATTTAAGTGCAAGGACATCACTCGTATGGGCGCTGTGAGCCTCCGGAGCTGTGGAYGGAAAGGACAGTGCTCATGGCAAGACCTCCTCTCAAGCTGACCGCTGCCTGCGCGTGGGGGTGACAGGCACAGGATGACGGTTCGGAATCAGCCCTGAGCTCTAGGGTGCTGTCACTCTGCAGCCAGAGCTGCTAGAACACATGGGGCCTGTGCTCTGGAGGGACCTGAGGCTGAGACGCATTCAGGGGGACCTGGAGAGACCGGTGACCCCACACCTGCAGGAGGCAAGCAAACACGGCCACGGAGACTCCAGTCTATGTGACAGATACGTCTCAGAGGCCAGTCAGGTGGGGGCCCAGCTGAGATGCAGAAGGTGGCATGGAGCCGTGATCAGAGAAACCAGAGGCCACACGTTCATCTGGGGATTTGGCAGTGAACAGGCGGCCCCAGGGCCTGCTCACGGCAAGGACAGGGCTCCTTCTGAAAGCCCACGGCTCCAAAGGGGGWCTCGCAGTGTGGGCGCCTGCTCCCTCCTGGGCTCGACACTTTGACGTGGGCAGGGGCAGTGGTCACTGAGCCCCATCTACCACTCAGAGAGAGAGGCACGTGCCCTCTGGCMATCTTATTTTTTTTCAAGTTTTTCAAATTTCATTTGTTCTTTTGAGTTACACGTGAGAGTACAGTCTATTTTGACATATTTATGCAAAGATGGAATGTGCCTTATTCTAATCAGGATCCCAGTCTTGTGAATGTACATGATGTGGAGATTCACTGAGGCGTGTCCAYAGGAAAGTTTAGTCAGATTTATTCCACTGTCTTTCCTATTCCCATCCCCCCCTTCCTCTCTCCATTCTCTTTTGTCTAACCCAATGAACTTCCATCTCCTCCCACTTGGTTGTGGGTTAGCATCTGCATATCAGARAGACATCTGAACTTTGTTTTGGGATTGACTTATTTCACTTAGCATGACAGTCTCCAGATCCTTGCATTTACCAGCAACTATCATAGTCATTCTTCTTTGTGGCTGAGTAATATTCCATGGGGATATCTACCACATTTTCTTTATCCATTCATCTGTTGAAGGGCACCTAGGTTGGTTCCAGAGCTTAGCTATGGTGAACTGATGTGGTTGTGTCATTGTAGTTTGCTAATTTGAAGTCCTTTGGGTATATGCTGAGGAGTGGAATAATGGAGTCAAATGGTGATTCCATCCCTAGTTTTTTAAAGGAATTTCCACACAGCTTTCCAGAGTGGTTGGACCAATCTGCAGTCCCACCAGCGATGTGTGAGTGTGCCTTTCCCCACATCCTCGCCATGCCTTGGACCTTGTATTCTTGGTAACTGGGGCAATGTTTTCYTCCTAGACAGGACCTGGCCCGGCACCTGGTCCTGTGTAGTCCCCACGTCTCAGGCACACAGGGAATGCCTTTGTGGGTCCACGTCTACCTGGAGCGAGACTTCCCAGGAGCTGCCATATTTTAACACCTTTCTTGGGTTTATTCAGTTTCAAAAAGGGGGGAAAAAGAAAAGAAAAAGACCCAGAAAACAGGGAAGCCCCCCCCACAAACAGGAAGCCCCACGGGAAAATGTTCATGTTTGGCAACTACCTCCCCGTGCAGCCCAGGGTTCCCCGCTTTCTTAAAAGGGGAGCCCCGAATTCTCATTTTCTGGGAGGGGACACAGAGAAGAGGCCAGGACTGGAAATGGCAGAAAGCCCATGGAGCGGGTCTGGAACCAGAGCGAGTCTCCCTTCCCCCAGTACCTTCCCTTCCAACCTAACACCCGGCCTGGCTGACAAAATCAGACCAGGGTGGGAAGGAAAGMGTCTCCAGGAACCCTGAGCTGGAGCAGACGTTCACCACCAGGGGGCACCAAAGTGCAGCCCGGGCCTGGAGGCCAGACCCTGGGTGAGGGCCAGAGGCTGAGACTCCAGGGGACTGCGGACATGGCAAACCTTCCCTAGGAAATTCAGGCTGTTGCTGATGTTTGCTCCACTTACATCACGGTGGTGTGCCGCTGTACCTTAAAAACTTGAATTCCAGTTTAAAGTTTTCAGATTATTTCTCTCCAAATTCCAAAGGAAACTTCTCAGTGCCATGGCAAGAGTGCCTGAGATTGCATCAGAACTCAAAATCAACTTTCCAGGTATGAAATTAGACAACAACAGAATCCCAAAGCGTGGGYAGAGGCGGCCACACACCCTCCCCCAGCCAGCTGTCCCTCAGCCTGGCGTCTCTGGCCAGGGCCAGGGGCTGTTGGYTTTGGAGCTGCAGGAGGCAGCAGGGCCACCTCTCACAGGTGGCCACATTTCATTGCCACTCTCTTTAGGAAGGGAAGCAGCAGTGCCTGTGCCAGAGGCCGCTGTCCTTTGGTCACATGTGAGGCCTCTGATCCAATGCAGCTGCTTGCTGGGTTGCTGCAAACGCCTGAGCACAATCAGAGACTGCAGACATCTGGCACAGCTCTGCCAACACCAAGGGTCATTTCCCTCCAGCCTGCCCCCCCAGCCAGGGCTGAGGAATGGGCATGCAGGCACCCAGCCCAGGGCTCTCAGATGGAGGGGGTTGTGACAAGAAGTGAGAAGTCCCAGCTTTCCTGATCGGCCATCGAATGCCATCACTGGAAGTGCCATATAGTCCTTCACTGGCGAGTCCTTCAGGCTCAACCCAGACTACCCTGTGCTGGCACCCTGGGGAGGTCAGGGTGCCAGCTGGGCCCCTGGTTGTACGCAGGCTCCCGTGGCCTTGTGTGGCTCCATGCTGCATGCGGGTGCTCAGCTCTGTGAGCAGCTGTGGGCACAGCGCTCAAGTCAGGTGTGGGCTGCGGCTCTGTGTGTTTTTCTTTGGCTTTCGTGAAAACCAAGGAATTTATCACGTGGCCCACTTCACAGTCAGGGCAGCTGAGGCTCCGGGCAGGCAGGCTGCTCAGGGAACCCATGCAGCCCGGCACCGTCTCAGCGCTCTCCTCTGCAGGTGCTGGGAGCAGGGTGCGCAGGGGAGAGCAGGGCTGAGTCTCAATTGGGAAGAGCAGAGCCCGGACGCAAGGCCGAGGAGGCCCCTGAGGCACYGTGCGGGCAGCAAGCGGGCGCTCTGGCGTCCTGGCACAGGAGGATGTGATGGTATGAGGTCCAACATCTACCTGGGGCCTGGCAGGAAGCAGGGTGGAACCACAGCTGGGTACGGGAGGGGAGGAGRGGGATGGAGGGGCACTTCTGCTAGAGCTTAATTTATAAGGAGCCAAGAATTCAAGACGCACAGGCACAGGGAAGGCAGAGAACAGAGCTGCCCTGGTTAGGGGCCTGAGCACATCTTGGGTACATTGTCTGAGTGGCCGTGCACAGAGCTGACCAGGCCACTGCTAACCACGTCACTCGTGGGTGTCATGGAAGGACAGAGACATGGGACTGGGGCAGCCACCGGGTGCCACGTGGGGAGGCTCAAGCAGGCTGTGGTCCCCAGGGCCCCTCCTGTGAGCACTGAAGAGCACCAGCCCTGCCTCCAAGAGGCCCTGCAGTGCCTTAGTCCCAGTGACCAGAGGAGGGGAGGCTGGCTCAGTCTCCCGCGCTGGGGAGCTTTCCCTGCCCTTCTGTCCACTCGGCACCGGCCTCCTGGGAGCAGCACAGCAGCTGAAGAGGCTCCGCCCGCTTGGCAGGGCTGGTCCCTGGGCCCAGATCCAGCCACTCTCCTCTGCCTGAAACCCTGCAGTTGTGCCGAAATAACCTGGCGTGGTCACCACCCACCAGAGGCAGCGTCTCACAGAGAGGAGCCACCCCGAGCAGGTGGCGGAGTCTGGTGCGGGGGCCACATGCTCCTCCTGCTCAGTGCAGATCAGCCGCACTTCCAAGAAAGGGCCGGCATGAGGTTTATGCTGCATCTAATTACACAGAGAGGGTCACTCATTAGGAGTCCTATGAGTGGCAAGCTCTTTTGGACAAGAAAGCTGAGGGAAAAGGCAGAGTATGAGGAATCAGCTAAATCAGAGAGCCAGCTCTGCCCTCAATGAGCTGTGTGACTTGCAGCTAGTCACTCAACCTCTCTGAGCTTCAATATTCTCATTTGCATAAGGAGAGTTTGGRCTACAGTCTCTGAGTTGCCTTCCATATTAGTGACTGCTTTTCACAAAAGAATTCCTATTTCCTCCACTGACCTAGAGCAGTTTACACTGCAAACACAATTAACCCCTAACTCCCATCCTGTTGCAAGCAAGGGCTGATGGGAGAGGAAATTCCCCAGTGCTCCAAGAGGACAGCATGGCGTTGCCAGCCTGTGCACCAGTCTCCACCCCCGGTGATAGCTCTGCCCCACCTGGCAGACCCAGGCAAGTTCTTTCCTTGTGGATGGAAAGAACGGCAGTGTCCCTCACCCGGCTTCTGTCTGCAGCAGCCCTGACAAGGACAAGGACTGTACTCCTGGGCACYGTCTCTGCACAGCGTCATTGGTCTCCCCAACCCACCTCACAGGCTGTGGCTCCCACTCCCACGGGACACACGGCGACAGCTCCTGTAACCCTGTGAGGCCTTCCCGGCCGATGCCCAGAGGGCTGCATTCTGTCCATGAAAAGCTAACACCAGGCAAAGCCCCAGAACCCTGGGGGAGCCTGGAGGGGGCTGCCTGGCCCCCACCCACCCACCCTCCTGCTCCTGCCCCCGCCGTGGTGCTCCTTCTGCAAAAGACGTGGGAGCTGCTGCACCTTTACCTCCGTGTTCATGGCCCAGCTTAGGCCCACTGGGCAGGACCCACATGCTGCCCTTTTGCTACCCTCAAAGACCCCCAAGACCTTGGATGTGACATGCTCAAGGAGGGAGAGGGGAGAAGGGGGCGGGCAGCAGGAAGTGAAGGGAGGCGGGAAGCTGACGGCCCAGCAGCAGCAGCTGAGTGGAGGCCCACCACTGGCMATGGTTTACCACAGGCAAAGGGCCCGGTGGGTGCAGCTAGTGCTAGAGCCCTRCTCCCTACCCAGGAGGCAGCAGGCCCTGGGCACAGCCCAGCACCACAACCAGGAAAGGCAAACACCACCTCTCAGCTGGGAGCTGCTCTCCCAGGAGAGCCAGGCATTCTTCTGGCTGGGCTGCCTACAGTCAGCCCTCCTCTTCCCGGAGGCCTCCACTGGCCCCTGGCTGGCCCAGCCCACATGACGTCCTGGGAGGCCCTGGCTGCCTCTGCCGTGGCCCAGCACTACTGACCACAGCTGGGCGTGGCAAGCTCACTTCTGCAGTTCCCTGTACTGTCCCCTCTCCTGCTCCTAGACACGAGCCACGGTGGCAGGGCCTTCTGGCCCACTGTTGAACACACAAGCTCAATCCCACCCTGACAGATGCAGCTGCCCAGAGATGGGGCCAGAGGGAAGAGCCAGTCGGGCGGCCAGGGACCTGCGACACCATGATGAGGTGTGATTCTATACCTTGGCACAGGAGAGCACTGGTCTGACTCCATCGCCACCCTCTCTGCCCTCCCGCCTCTGCCCACTGCAGCACGTGTGTGCTSTAGCCTGAGGCTGCTGGAGGGGGTCGTGGGACAACCTCACAGGCCTGAGAGCTGGGATCTTACTCTTGAAGGAACCTTAGCAATCATCCCAACCCCCTGCAAAACCTTCCATTAACATAAATAAAACTGCTTCCCGCAACCGAGCTGCCCCAGCAGGGCGCTGCACCAGGCTCACCGCAGGTGGGGACGTCCTCCTCGGCTGACGATGTCTGCTCGTCGGTGGATGGCTTCTTCTTGCCCAAACCAATGATCTTGGTAATTTTTTTCCCAGTGACTTTAGACACGGTTCCCTTGGCTTCTGCTTTGGAACTTTTCTTCCTCTTCACTGTCAACAAAAGCTTGTTTTAATTGAGGATGTTAACTTTAAAAAGTAGACATGAAGCCTAAATCACCTCGTGTCTTCTTCCCCCACTTGGGCTCATCAGGCACRCTTAAGTACCTGCTCTGTGTCACCGGGGTCTAGATGCTGTGGCCAAAGCAGGACTCAGAGCTGCTCTCCAGAAGCCTGCACCCTAGAGAGGGCTGAGGACACACAGCCACACGTGTGTCCAGCATAAGCAGCACGTCTGCACACACACAAGTGTCCACATGCACCAAGCAGTGGCAGGAACCCCAGGCCCAGAGGTTCCACAGGGCCCTGTGGGAGAGTGGCTGGTGGTGGACTTGAGGCCGAGTGCTCAGTAACAAGGAAGGAGTCCTTCCGACTTCAGCGGAAAGGGCTGCCCACCAGAGGAGCAGCTGYTGGTGCGGGCTGCGGGCCTGGGGAAGCGGAGCGGAGGGAGCAGGCGAAGCGCGGGTCGCAGGGAGCAGAGGGGCCCCGGTCCCCCTGGGCACCTCCTGCCCTCCTGCTCCGTTCTGCCCTCTCCAGACTCTAGACCGCCGCCTGCCTTTCAGCTGGGATGCTCTATTTCATCGGGTTAATATACAAATTCACAAACATTTTGCATAAAAAGATTTCAAGCTTCTCCTGAAACACAAATACCTGGCAAACCTGGACCCACAGGTGGGAAAGTGTCAGCAGAGCCACACAGACAGGCTCCAGCCAGCTCTGACATGGGCAGCTCTCTCTCCACACTGACCCCCACCACAGAGGGACAACTGGCCACCGGCTGGTGACCTACCCCTGCTCWGCTCAGTCACCCACACCCCCCCTACCCCCAGGCCTTGTCCATGACCTCTAATAGAACTGCAGGGACGGGGGTCAGGCAGCACTCGGAACAGGCATGTGAGGACCCAGGGCTGAGCAACAGTCCTCGGGAAGGGTGGGCTGCCCCATCAGTCTCCTAAGGGCACCATGCACCTGCTAGGGCAAAAGGCCTTCCCTGGAGCCACCCTCAGCACAGCCCGACCCCTGTGCTGCAGGGAGGCCAAGCACCCCACCTTGGTCAGCCTCTGGGCAGCCACCTTTCAGGACCTCAGGAAAGCCCACGGCTCCTGCCTCCCCCAAAAGGAACAAGTGCACAGCACCAGGACAAGGCAGAGAGGAGCCCTCTAGGAGCCTGTGGCGATCCTTGCTGGACACGTCCCAGCTCCCTCCACCCACAGAGGCCCTCTTCCATGGGAACGGGCAGTCATCTGCTGCTCCTCTGCCGCCCGCTGTGAGGTGGTCAGGGCAGGGGGCATCACGCAGGTTCCCACCTCGGGCCTGGCCCTCCCCCGCTCACACCTGCCCTCAGACCCAGTGGGACTGGCACTACTCCTCAGTCCCTCTCCAGGATGGTGACAACCATGTGGCTGTGCCACAGTGAGCAGAGCCACTGGGAACCCAGCCTTGCGGGCTGAGTGTGCCCCAGTCACAGGGAGCTCAGACCCCCAGGGGAGGCATGGGGAGGTGGGCCTGTAGGGAAGCATCAGGAAAGACCCCCCTGATCCCGGGGTGAGATCCTGGTGGTGAGGGCACGGAAGAAGGCCCGTGTGAGGACACAAAGAGAAGGTGGCCACCTGCGACCTGGGAGGAGAGGCTGATCATTCCATGTCACTTGGACCAAACAAAAAGGGAAAGCCACCATGGGGGGCACCCTGCCATCTCACAGCCCTGTAGGTCACGCTGCCATGGCACGGACCCTGCAGGCACATACTGTCTCACACACCCTGCAGGCCACCCTGGCATCTCACATGCCCTGCAGGCCACGCTGCTGTCTCACACACTCCGCAGACAATCCAGCGCCATCACCTACTCCAGCCGAGCTCCACAAAGACGTGTGGCCCAGGTCAGCAAAGCACCCAGAAGGCACCCACCCTGTCCCAGGCTCGCAGAGCATGAGCAGGCAACTCTCCCTGGCACAGCGCTTGCTGTCCGTCTCATCAGYCTGGGGTTTCGCAGTCACTCCAATGACACCGATGGGCTCTTGCTGGGCTCTGACTACAAAGACCTAAGAAAATAATTAACATCTGTGGTTCCTTCAATACCTACTGCTTAACTTTTGCAAAGACAGAAGTCAGGCCATCCTTGGAAGAAAAGCCAAAGTGTGTAGGGACATGAGAAAAAAACATCAAGAACCTTGTGAGACYGCTTAGCAAACAAAAGGCAGAATTTAGCACAATTACAAACCAGAATTCCCCACTCACTGAAGACGCACAGCGGTGAAGTGCARGGTCCAGATGGTGTGGAGGTAGGTGGGTGCAAGAGTGACMGAGACAATGGAAGCAAGGTCACTCYGTGCACTTAAACCCACAAAGCCAGGCAGCTCCCTGTCATCCCACAGAAGGGGACCTAGGCGCTCTGCTGTCTAGGCTGGTGGGAGAGGGTGGGACAGTGCCATCGGACTACGGACTCACTGAGTCCACCCGGACCCACGTGCAGATGGAAAAATCATAGGGGGAGGCAGAGTAGGCTGGGGATGTGCTCGCTTCCCTATGCACTGCCCCGGGACCTTTATCTTCCCTGCTCACGTCAGCTACGGTGTCAACAGGATGCTGACCCAGTCACCACATGCCACACGCACTGGCGTCTTAAACACCAGGACTCTGCCCTGAAGGAAGAGCTGGCGAGTGAGCCAGGCGCCCGATCCGACCACCGAGTCTGGTGCCACCTTCAGGGTAGATCCTCACACTCAGGCGAATATACAGAGACGTCTGCAAACCCCACTCGGCCAGTGAGGGAGGCTCATCTGGAAGCTCCCAATGCAGCCAGGAGTGGAGGGAGGGCGGGGGGTGTATTTGGGCCATTAATCCCCTCTAGTGACTGTTTCCTCAGTGTCTGCCACACCCACAGCACCTTGCTGGGCAAAAGGAAGTGTCTGCAGCAGGCGGCTCTCTGAGTCCCAAGGCCAGAAGGGCATGACAAAGGGACAGGAGGGCAGGAGAAGCCGGTGTTCCCCTGCCCGTGTCAGACAGGTGCGCCATTCCATCCATGTGCCTCTCAGGTGCATCGGGGAAGAAAGAACAGACGGAGAAAGACCAGCCAAGCAGCGTCCATGGAGTGCAACAGCAGGGCAGGGGCCAAGCTCAGTGGTGGGCTGCGGTCCTGGCTGGGCCAGGAGACAGCTGGACGCAGGAGTAGGAAAAAAAGCCAGGCGACATGGTTAAACCAGCCTCAAAACAAGAAGCAAACAAAAACACAGCTAAGCTGGACCACGGAGGCTGCAGGTCATTCGACTTCAGGGAGAACTTCAGACTGCTTTCCAGGTCCTGGTCACAGGCAGCACCCATGGAGGACACAGACAACACGCTCACCGAGAAGCTTCACAGAGGGGACCCAGCTGGTAAGCCACCGTGCAAAAGCAGACCACGAAAGCTTCTGATGAGAACCTGGTGGCACCAACGTCCTGACGGCAGGGCACCAGGGTCCTCAAGCCCAGCTGCTACAGCTGTGGGCCGGCCTCTCACCAGWGAGGGCACCCTTGCTTCCAACCGGCCACACAAGGCACCTGGGCAGCTGGGTCACAGGCTCTGGGAGAGCAGAGTCACCTGGAATTGTGGAGGGAGGCTTCCCTCCSGACCACAAGTCACGACCTCACCTCCAGGCATACTCCTAGGACGTTAAAGCCAGTTAAGCAGAAAAGCTGCACAAAACGCATACCTGACAAAGGACTTGCATTCAGAACAAGCACAGATCCCTCAAAGCTCAATAAGAGTGAATAACCCAATAAAAACATGGAGAAATGGCTGAGAAGACACCTCACAGAGTCACAGCAACCACCAATAACACAGGAAAACTGCTTGGCCCCCTCCAGTCACTAGGGAAACCACAGTCACACTCCACACAGAGGAGGGACCGGACAGAGCAGAAGGGACAACACTGAGGCTGGCGAGACTCCACGTGGCCTGGCAACCCACACTGGGATCAGTGCCCAAGGGGCAAGAGGCACARATCCACCTGCCTAGTACAGCCAGAGCAGCTCTGCAGTGGCAAGGGGAAGACCCAGCGTGCACAGCCACCCCGAGAAGACCGCCCCCTGCAGCCATCTTCACCGCCTCAGCAGGGAAGCAGAYGGCACTGGGGCGAGGGACCCAGAAGGGGGTCCACCTGCAGGGCAGGAAGCAGCTCAGCAGTGCCAGGTGGCTCAAAGGCGTGCACAGGACATCTGGAGGAACAGGAGCGTCCTGTCTTGACGGTRGTGATGGTTCCATGCCTGAGAGACGTCTGCCAACACAGAACTGCAGGCCATGGGCAGAGCTGAGCTGGGAGAGAGCGGCGTCCACACCTGCACACTGTTCCCAGAGGCCCTGCTCAGGAGCACCAAGAGCAGGAGCAGGCTGGTGCTCTGACCGGTGGACAAATGTGCAAAATTTGGTGCTTTCCTAGGATGGAATTCACAGTCTTAGAAAGAAAGGACACCGGAAAACAGGTGGAAACATCTTTAACATCATGTTAAAGCCAAACAAGCCCACGTCAGACAGCCCACCCCAGACAGCCCRGGGTCACGTGCTCCCCTCACGTGGAAGCTGGAAAGGAGAGAGGAAAGGAAAGTGGGGATCTATGAGAATGAAAGGGACCTCAGCAGAGGAGAGCAAGGGGCCAGAGGGAGGCAGAGGAACTCTGGCCAAATTACATCGTTCTAACATGTGCACATGGGGGTGCTCAACACCCGGTCCCCCATAGTGTGTGATGACGATGTGACAAAAGGAAGAAACTTCTGACACAAGCGACACTCTGGGTTGACCACAAAGACACACCCTGAGTGAAACAGCCAGTCACTACAGGACACAGCCCAGGTGACTCCACCCACACGAGGCCCCAGAGCCACGGAACTCAGAGACAGACRCAGCACTGCACGTGCCAGCACTAGGGAGGAAAGCCAGGGTTAATGGGGACAGAGTTCAGTTTGGGAAGATGGAACGGTTCTGGGGATGGACGAAGACAGCTGCCCAGCAGTGAGAATGTGCTTCATGCCATCAACTATGCACACAGATCGTCACACTGGCTGCTCTTACGGTGTATGTGTTCTACCAGGGTTTTTAAAATGTAAATGCAGGTGAAATAAAGACATTTTCAGAAAAATGCAATGATGGCATTTGCTGGTAAATGGGTGGAAATGGAGAAAATCATGCTAAGTGAAATAAACCAGACTCAGAAAGTCAAGGGTCAAATGTTTCTCTCATATATGGACGATAGAGCAAAATAAGGAAAGGAAAGCAGTTGGGGAGAAATCGGRTATTAAAGATATGGGGTGATGGATGACAGACGTGGAGAATGAGAGGGAAAGGGGCGAATCACGGGCTGACTCTGACAGAACCCTGTCATGGGCGGGTAGGCTGGGTCCCTTGTTTACTCCAGGCCTGGTCTCCGGGYTCACTGAGCACCAGCAGCATGCTGTCAGCCTGAGGGAGTGTGGGTGGCASTGGACCCTCCATCACTCCCAGAACCTGGGGAGCCAGAGGCACCGCAGCTTCCAAATGGGTATCTCAGGTCCTCCTTGTTACCAAGGGGAATCTCTCCTTCACATATACATAGAACACGCCAATCAGAAATAAGGGAGTGAAAGGAGGATCAGCAGAGAGAMAAAAAAGATCTTTTCAGAAAATCTTTTTAAAAAAAGACTTCAGATTCTGGCCTCCTCGTCTTAAAGATGGGGAAACTGAAGTTCATGCAGGGAATACTTGCTCCTGATCATATGGCTAAGCAAAAGTAGTGCTGGGGCAGCCACTCGAGGTCCCATTCATTCCCCAAAGGTCTCAAGCAAGATGCCAGCCCCTCCTTGGTACAAATCCGTCTCAGCGATAGATCTAGCAAGGAAGCAGGCTGGCAGGAACCATCAGTTCAAAATACACATGGGCACTATGAACAAGGGCACTGCCCAGGCTGGGGCTGGCAGGATGGGAAGGTGGTCCCTGGCTGAGGTTGACCACAGGGCCCTGTTCCTGTCAGATGACCCATGGCAGGCAGGTGTCCGCAGCTGAAGCCCAGAGCACCACATGGTCACTGCATGCCCACCGCCCTTGCCTCCCCCAGACTGCACTCGGCCACAGGTGGGGCTTACCTTGCTCTTTTCCGTTGCACGAGGCAATGCCATTCTCCACAGCACCCTCCCCATCTGAGCTGGGTCTCTCTGAAGACAGCTTCTGTAAGGACACAAAGGATTAGGTTGCTCCTAGAGGCCACACGGCTCTGGCGACGCTGATGGGTCGTCAGAAGCCTCTGGAAGGAAGTCAGATGTGGTGGGATCCACTCAGCACAGAGAGCCGGGGCTTCCCTCCAGCACAGACCTGCTGGTCAGGCAGCTGCAGAAGCTTCAAAATGCAAACCAACCAAGAGAACCACTCCGTGGCTCTGGTGTACTGACACACGTGCGTGCCTTGCCCTCCACTCAAATCACTTTTTCTTACAGTCATGAAAAAGTATCAGGATTACTCACTAAGCCATATTTTCTTTGCAGGAGTAAATAATCCCTCATCTATCTTTTCCCTGTCATTTGCCAATAATCGGGTAAATGTCAAGTATTTACTTGTAACAAATGTACTCAGAACAAACACAGAAAGAGAGAAATTCCTATCAAAACCTCCCATGGCCGGGGTGTGGCTCAGCAGTCAAGTGCTTGCCTGGCAAGCTTGGGGCCCTGGGTTCCATCCTCAGCACCAAAATAAAACACGTCCCAGTGGCGCTAGGCTCCTTGTTGACTTCAGGCCTGATCTCCTGACGTAATGAGCATAATCAGGACTCCACAGTGTGRCAGCTGGACCCTTCCGTCCCTCCTCAGAACCTGTGGAGTCAGAGGAGTAATGGCTTCCAAAATGGGTGTCTCCGGTCCTCCACATTAACCCCCAGAGCCACAGAGACTGGCCAGCCAGACACAAAGGAAACCAGCAAGAACTCTGGTAATGAAAGTAGTGGCATGCAGCAGGCTCCTACMGTGCACCCGGCCAGTGCTCCAAGTACCAGAGCCAGCACTGCCCCGCTCTCAGACCTGCAGCTGCCCAGGAACACACCACRCAGCCCAGAGGCCAAGCTAAGGAAAGGCGCGTCACCAGTTCTGATGGGAGTGTACCAGGAGCTGGGAGGCACTGGCGGGAGTGAGACCCAYGGCATCTGGGACAGCGACAGGATTAGCAGTGGGAATCAGACACTTAGCAGAGCTCCCTCCTATGGGCTAATAATTCAGCTCCAGGGAATCTGTGCTCGGGTAACAGGCAGAGAAGCAGCAGAGGTTTATGCAAAAGGTCTTACTACCACGTTATTTAAGCAGTCTAGAAAAAAGAAAAATGGGGTAGTTGTGGGGAGAGGGGACTGCACAGCTACCTCAGTGATAAGAAGGTGGCAAAGTGTCACATCCAGCTGATGAAACTGCAGAACCCTGCTGCTTGTTATGAATGTCAAAACCTAGGAGCCGGCCAGCTAGATTCAGGCAGGCGGGAAACAAGGCGTGTGAGAAACCTGACTGCATAAGATCATCCGAAGTGTAAAAGAAGCGCACACAGGGAAACCTGGCGAATGCCATGGAGGGCATGGAGAAGGGCAGACTTGAGTGACTTTTTCCTGCTATTTATGTTTCCCTGAACTTTCTCAGTGTTATACAGTAAGAGTTTATAGTCAGGAACAAAGCAACAGGCTGTTCTACTAAAATACCAGGTGGTTAACTGTGTGTCAGGTTGGAAGGGGSCGTTTCTGGGTGATCCAATCAGTGAGCTCGTATTAGCAGGCTGTCCCCCTGATGTGGGTGGACCTCACACATCATGTGAAGGCTGGACAGGATGAAAAGACCAGCCTCCTGCCTGAGCTAGAGGGCCTGCTGCAGCAGAGGCCGGGGGCCAGCCTGCATGTCACCCCTGGGCCTCTGCTGTGGCCAGGATGCACATCAGGACTTGCATCTGCCATAGCTGTGGGAGCCACACCCYTGAACAAACCTCTTTCCACACACACCCCTCAGTTCTGCATCTCTGGAGAACCCTAACACAAGGACAGAGAAGAGGAGGATCCACTCGTCCCCTGGCTGGGGCTTCAGCAGGCAGGCTTGGGACGCTCCTAGGACACAGCTGCAAGGGACGACTCCGCAGCCAGAGCCAGGAACACTCCCAGTGATGTGCAGACCAAGGACATCAGAGCAGGAACGTGGCACTACAGGGTGCCCCCCCACCTCTGGCAAGAAGGCGTGCACAGGCAACAGGCTACACGCCGACCGCTGCGCCCTGCACTCCTCCCAGCAAGAAAACTGGCAGAAGCAGAGGGGCGGTGAGCTCCTCCTGCCTGGGGGTTAGACCCTGGGGAAGGCAGGTTGTGAAGTGCCTGCTGCATGTCACAATAGGCAACAGCTCCGTGGCTCTGCACAAGACCCCCCTAAGGTTCCACAGCTCGTCCACAGCAAGGCCCTGGAGCCTGGTCCAGAGCAGACTCGGAAGAGGACAGCAAGCAGGACTGCACCTGTTTTCCAACTGCAACCCTGAAATTCTCAGTGTTATTAAAGCTTGCAGGCAATTTGAATGTTCCCAGTATAATAAGATACCAAATGTCTGAGGTGGCAGACACGCCAATTTCCCTGACTCAATGGTTACACACTGTCTACTAGTGTTGAAAGGTCACACAGCATGCACAGACATATACAATTAGTGTGTCTCAATTAAAAATAAAAAGACATTTTAAGAGAACCCAAACACTTGGAGTGACACCCAAATCACTCACGAGTCCCGGTTCCTGGAGAGACGCACCCTTACCTTCTCCAGCTCTGCCTTATGAACTGGGGCACTGGGAGGTGGAACACACTCGGGATCCGCAGGGCCACCGCAGCCACTGTAGGCTTCCCTGATCACCTGTGGAAAGCAGAGGTTCAGGACGGAGGCCAGACCAGGGTGAACAGACCAAGGCSGACGGCGTGCAGGGAAGCTGGAGGGCCAGGAGCACCTGGCATTGAACAGACGCAGGTCCGCACAAGTTCACGCTTTGGCTCACCCGGTGGGACTGTCCYGGGTACGCAGATGAGGTGGAGTGAGCAGCTTCGAGAGCCACAGGGAATGAAGCATGGAGCTTCCACGGGCAGGTGGGCAGCGACCTCAGCTCAGGTGGCTGCGGTCAAGCTGGGAGGGGCAAGGCTGGAGGAAGCCGATGCACAAAGGAAGGTTTCTCAAAGTGCTCCTTTTCCTACTAAAGGCTTCAGCCCTCTGAACAGAGGACAGAGTAAAATGCAGAGAGGCTCTTCACGGGGAGGGTCTGAGAACACTGCTGCCTGGCCAGGCCTACCTCCTCAGAGACACATGAGGACAGACCCTCAGGAACGAGCTGTGCAGCTATGGAGGAGACAGTTAACTTCTCTGAGCCTCAGTTTCATCATTATGGTGTGGATATGAGGTGTCCCCCAAAAGCTCAGGTGTGAAAGTAGGAATGTTCAGAAGTGAGCTGATTATGAGCACCGTGACCTCATCAGTGAATTAATTCATGTGATGGATTGATAACTTGAATGCATTACTGGTGGTAACTGGAGGCAGGAGGGGCATGGCTGGAGGAGGCAGGTCAATGGGTGTGGGCCCATGGGGACTACATCATGTCCTTCCTCTCTCTCCCCCGCCCTTTCTCCCTCCCTCCCTTCTTCCTGGGTCCCAGGAGCTGAGCCACTTTCCTCCTCTATGCCCTTCCACCAGGATGGTCTGTCACCTCCRGCTTGGGAAATGGAGTCCGCGGACCTGGGACTGAACTTGTGCAACTGTGAGCCCAGAGAAACTCTTCCTTTTTAAGTCGCTCTTGTCAGGAGTTTTGGTCACAGTGATGAAAAGCTGACTAACACAAAGGAAGGCGTCAAGGTGACCCGTCTTGCAGGACTACGGCTAAATTAAGAGGAAACGAGACCTGGCACGTTAGATGCCCAAGCCAGCACCTGACCCCAACTCCTTCACCACACAGAGGCGCTGTGACCACGGCACTCGCTGCGGTGAGCCTCTCTGCAACTTAGGTGGAGAGTAGGAATGACCAGCCCATGGTCCCATGCTGGCACAAGGGGCCCTCATGGCCACCTGCTGGCTTCTCCATCACGACTAAGCTCATGCCACGTCCAGGTGTGGCCCGTCACGGGACATGAGGTGAATAAGGAAACAAGAACCACGTGCCTGTGTAACTCACGCGCTCTCGTCCCCACAAGTCAGCAGGCAAGTCTTACAGAAGCCGCCTGTTCCTCCTGGATCTACACTGCGGCGGRAGCCAAGCCAAGCTGCTTCTGGGCAGAAAGGAACGCCAGCCCCAGAGAGCTGGGCAGTGGCCGGGCACCAGCCTCCACAGATGCCCTGCAGTCGCACTGGGCTGGACTCAGCCCGGAGCTGACAAGCAGGATGTGTCCCCAGGCACTCTGCTCCTCGGATGCCTCATGTGCAGAGCACAGGGTGACTTGCGTCCACACCCGAGCTGTCTCAGGAGTGGACGGCACAGGGAAGAAGAAAGTGAGGAGGTGGCCAGAGGGCTCGCGGCATCGCTCCTCCCGGGGTGATTTCTGAGATGSGAGCAGGACCCGGCAGCGCTCCGCCCAGAGCTTCTCCCTGCTCCTCCCTCTTCCACGCTGACCACTCCACGGCGGGTCTTCGTGCCCTCCTGCCCACGTGATGACCAAATCCTCAACTGACAAGATACATTTTTACTTGATTTAAAGACAAGACTCTTTTTTCTAGGGAAGCAGCTCCTGAGCTTTTCCGCCAAACAAGAGCTGGTTTACTCCTAGTTCTTCCACCTGCTGTGCATGCAAGGCTGGGCCACTCAATCTGAGCCCCTCTCTCCTAACCTGGAACATGCACAAGATGACACCCAGGCAGTGACAGAGAAAACAGAGTGGTTACAAGGATGTGAAGCGCCCTGCCCAGTACCTCTCCCTCACAGGTGCAAAGTGACTTCTGCGCTTTCCCAGTCACAGATCCAAATAAAGGAACCAGGTTTTAACTATGCACATAAACCTGAACCCGACAAATTCTCCTTTTGCACTAAAAAGCGGTGCCGCCAAACCAGAACCTGCAAAATCCTACAATCTCTGCAAAAGCTTTTATACCAAGGTCTGTATTCTGTCTCCTCCTGGTTTTCCCATGGGGAAGAACATAGAGCATCTTCAGCCGAGTTGCTCCACTATCCCCTCCGCCACCTCTCCAGGGCCAGGGTCTCCTGGGGGGAGCACGCACTTCCTCCCAGCCAAACAGAACCCATCTCTTATGATTCAGCCTCAGGCTCCCACAACTCCAGGGAGCCTGCCTGGCCTCCTGCCATGGTCTGCACTAGTGTCCCTCAAGGCCACATGCTATAGGCTTTTCGCCAGGCTCCGGTGCTCCTGGGAGGGGGTAGACCTTTGGGAGGCGGGTCCTGTGGAAGTCAGGTCACTGGGGTGTGCCCTTGAAGAGGATGTTGGGACCCTAGTTGCTTCCCAGCTGCCTCACTGTGCGCCCTTGCCATGCCGTTCCGCCTCACCAGGCCCAGAGGCAAAGGCAGACCACCAGCCACAAGCACGGGCTGGAGCCTCTGCAACCCGAGCCTAGCACTTTTCCTCCCCTAAGCTGTCTGCGCAGGGATGGAAAGCCCACTACCATGTCTCCCTGTGGTCCACGTGGCGTGGCCACCCTCGCACACCCCCAGAGGGCCAGGACTGCTCTTCCCAGACATGCTCCTGGGCCTGAGTGTCCTCCACACGGCGCTCCCTGACAGAGGCTGGGTCCTCTCAGCTGGGCTCCAGGGCCAGCATGTGACAGCAGCTGAAAGTCTGGACAAGGGGAAAAATGAGGGAATGAAAAACTGGGTTGAGAATCTCTATGGGGAAAGGAAGGAAGGAAGAAAAAGCCAAAGAAACAAGGCTGCCACCAGGCAGGTCGAGCCTGGGACACGGCCCCTGTCTTCTGCACTGAGTTCTGAAAGCTTCACAGGAGAAAACACTGCTGTTTTGGGCACAAAAAAAAGCTACCTGTATACGCGCCCTGCCAGGCTGCCTCCCAGGGAGCTGCTCCCTGGCACAGCCAGCTCTCCCACACCAGGCTGCTGGCGGCAGAAGTGGCCCGGCCACAGAGCCAGTGCCTGGCGACAGCCTTCAAGGAGCCACACAGAGGAGCCAACACAGCGCACACTGGCCACCGCACTGCCTTGTTGTCCAGCCACTGATCCCTCTCCCAGCCAGAACTGAAATTCCTGGCAGAGGGGAGCCATGTCCCCCACAGTGCTTGGGAAGGGGGAGGCACACGGCAGGACAGAGACCCAGACAGCAACTGGGGACATTCCTGCCATCACAAGACCGTCTTCCCCAGAATCAACAAGGATCCTGCCCAGGACTCAGAGGAGGTATGTGGGAAGGCCAGAGAGTCACTTCAGGGGAAGAAGTCAGGTCACCTCGTGTCAGTGTCCTGCCCCCTGGCTCTCCATCGAAGGCCAAAGGCACCTTCAGGGTTAGTTCAGAAGAACAAACAGAGGCTCTGTCCCCCTGGGCCTCAGGAGGACTACACACGAGTGTGCTGCACCAACGTAGCTCTATTTAGAGAGCCACATTCTGTGAGGACTTCAACACGTACTGGAGAGAACTGCATCTGAATGCAAAGTCACAACGCTCCAAAAACTAACTGTTATATGTTTTGCGGTATTTTTGTTTGCTTTTAACTTGAACTCTCTTCTCCAGAAACACAATCTCTGCACATTTTTTAAGGAAACCTGACCACTCTGCTTCTGGGAAGATTGGCTCTTGTCTTCTGCTTGACCTCTGCACAACGGTTCCTGCTTGCAGCATCTGCACACACGCTCACACACACATACACACACACACGCACACACTCTCACACACCCTCACAGCATACTCACACACATTCATGCACGCACACACTTGCACTCACACACGCACACATGCACTCTCATACACACTCACACATATACTCACATACTCTCATGCACACCCACACTTGCACTCACACACATTCACATGGACACACACGCACACATTCACACACGCATATACATACTCACTTTCATGCACACACACTCGCACTCACACTCGCAGTCACACACATATGCACACACACATTCACACATGCATACACACCGTCATGCACACACTCATACACACACACACATGCACACAGTCGCCACACGCACACACTCTCTCTCTCTCACACACACACGCACACCAGTTGAGTCTGGCAGGAGCTGTTGCCACTGGACGGTGCAGACACAGGAAGAACCACTCTGGCAGGAATCCCTCAAGAGCGCAAGGCCAGGCCTCCAAGGCCACCCGCCTCCAGCTCGTGTGCTTGACAGAAGCATGTGTGTCTTTGTTAAAGGGTTTTTAATGTTATATTAAAGCTGTTTCAAAACATCTACAGCCTGGGCCACGAGCTAGAATGATGCAGGCAGCAGCAGCAGAGGCTGACCCACGGCCCCCATGGCATGGGGCCTCCTGTTAGCCGGGTAGAGTCCCATGGAGACCTGGCAGGGTGCAAGGAACAATATCATGTTTTCATGCTCTAGCTGTCTATTACACTTCGAGAGTGAATTTAAGTCATTTTCTCCCTCTTCCTCCTTAACAATTCCTGTGACATCACTTCCACTTGTAGCACAGTGGGCAAGTCTGGGCCAGAGAGGTGTGTGCTGGGCCAGTGTGGAGGCCTCTCTGTGAAGAGCACAGGACCTGGGACCCACACAGCGATGCCCGYGGGAACCTGTGTGATCCTTGAGGATTCCGCAAAGCCACGTGGAAAACTCATCTGGATCATGTTTGTCTACTGCTGCCTGAACCAGGAGGGGCATTTCCGTCTCCTGCACATGCACCAAGAAACCCTGCAGGGACCCAGAAAAAACCAAGGAGACTCTCTGTGGCTGGCAGAAGCATAACTGCACAAACGACACAGCAACCTGGCAGAATCCATGATGTCAGAGGTGGGCACGTCCTATGCCCAGAGATGCCCCGTGAGGGTCCCATCCTAAGGAAACTGAGGCATAAAGCCAGAGGACACGCTCTACAGAGCTCGTGGCACGTAGATGCCCAAAGAGGTCCCACTCACGAGGATGGCTGAGAAAATTCTGAGTGGCAAGAGCCCTGGAGGACAGTGGGGTGTGAAGCCACTTATGTGAAAGTCTGAAACATGAGCAACCATGTCATCTATGGTCATGGTTCAGGCATGCCAAGGGACAGCATAGTTTGGAAGCATACGCAGATATCACCAGACTCAGGACACAAGTTCCCTCGGAGGAGGGAGGGAGGGAGAGAGAGATCAATTCTACCTGTAGCGTTCTTGACCCGCAAACAATATAAATGATAGGGGACAGGACTTCTGGGAGGTGGTGCCTCATAGATAGCCTCAGTGCCCGGATAAAAGAGGCTCCAAGAGCGGCCTTTGCCCTTGCTACCATATGAAGGCACAGTGAGAAGACAGCTCTCCACTGCAGAGCAGCCATCTCCAGACGCCAAATCTGTGGCACCTTGGTCTTGGACTCCCAGCTCCAGCAGCTGAGGGAACCCTGAGGGAAAGAAGACACCACACACTGTCCGCTGGCTTGCTTGTTTCTGTTGTTTATAACCCACCCAGCCTACGTTACTTCATTAAAGTGGCCTGCCATATTCAAAATTAGAAACACAGTGAACAAAACAAATTTAACAGCAGATTAGAAACTGTCAGAGAGAAACAGTGAACTGGAAGGTAGCAAGGAAAACAAGCCAGACTGAAGAAGAAGAAAACAGGACAGTGAATACAAAGAAGGGATAAGAAGTAAATTTGAGATGGTGGGACAAAATCAAACACAGTCTCAAGGAAGTGGGGATGGGGTAAAGCTGACTTTTAGGAAAAGGTCTGAACAATTTTTCCCAAAAGATGACAAACAATCTACCAATTTAAGAAGCCCAGCATGTATCAAGCAGAATAAACAAAAAGGGACCCATATCCAGACACAATGAAGTGAAACTATAGAAAATAAAAATAAAAGAGAACTCCCCAGGGCAATCTGCAAATGGGGACAGATGGCCTCCTTGAGATGGGAGCCACATGAAGAGGGAYTCTGATCGTATAGCATACCCAGCTGTCAAGGACACAACTATTCAGCTTCATCTATTTTTAGCTTGAAAAAAAAAACTAATCAAAATAAAAGAGGATCTAGGAAGAGGATGGGAAGTGGAATGGCTCAGAGTCACCAGGCGACCCACCTTCAGCCACTGCTCAGCTTGCTCCTTGCTCTGGACTGCGAGGACAAGGGGGTCGGTGCCTTGCTGGGTGATTTTCAGCTCATGCTTCTTCTTCTTGCTGTCTTTCGGGATGTAGGTGATGTTGCAGCCTTGGAGAGGCAGTTCCATCTGAGGCTGCTGGTCCTTGGAACTCTTATAGCACTGCATTCAACACAACAAACCAATGTATATGGTACGGAGGCTTGAAGAGAAACACTGATAAAACCCAGCATAATAAAACCTCRAGCACAGGCAAGCTTCAGGGGGTCTGATCCCAAAGTGGAGATGCTCAGCAGCTGCAGACCAGCAGGTGTCAAACCCATGCACCACTTCACACCAGCTGGCGCATGTGCCTGTTAATTCAGCAAAGGTTTACTAAGCATCCAGAACACGCTTCAGCAGGAAATAAAATGTTCCTAGCGGGATGGAGCCTATGTTCTAGTGGACTTTCTTCACTAAGTGGATATACTTATATAAAAACACTTACATTTACATGAAGAATAAAGTGGAAAGTGCACTACCAGATTTGGTGCAACAGCAAAGCCCTAGCATAGAGCCACAGTCTAATAACGTGACACCTGTGGCCTGTGCTTCTTGGCCATGGCCCTCCCTTTCTGAAAGGCAGGCGAGTCACTTTAGTAAAGGTATCAACATGGGTGCCCAGTGGACAGCTATGCCTTGAGTTCGCCCCTCTAGTGTGTGAGAGCAGCCAAAATGCAGGCTGCTCCACCTACATCACAAAGTTCACGAGGTCCACTGAGTCCCTCACAACCGAGACAGGTTCCCGTCGCTCTTGCTTACTCTCCATCTGTAACAGAACCAATCCTGCCGCAGCCCCTGCCTGCCCTCTCTGTTTAACTGTAGCACTTAGAGCCCAAGCATTACTCTTAATGGGGATACACAGCCCCAGAGGCCAGATATCTGGGTCCTAGCTCTGTTAATATGTAATCTGGCCCCATGTCCCTGTGGTAAGGCATGTTCACTGTTGGCGTAATTGTTAAAGCCCACTATCAGCAGCACTCCGCCTGCTACCAGGCACTGGGTGCTCACATTACAAGAGCCACTTYATACATGTCTCACAGCTGTCTGTGCTGCAGATTAGGAAACTGAGGCTCCACTGGGTAAGTGACTTGCCCAAACAGGACAACTGAAGAGTGCAGACAGGACTCCAGCCCACAGGGAGAAGGGCAGGGCCTGCACTCTTAATGGGGACACAGCATTGTTGGTGAGGAATCAAGGAACAGGCACCAACTTTCAGAGCAGTTTCTAGAGTCCTTCCYGGGTTCACAGTCTTAAACCCACAACTCTGGGGTAAGGAGAGATCCACTTTAAAAACTTCCAACTGATGGCAGCCTGCCTAAGATGGGAAAAGGAAACTCTCCAGAACGGCCCACCTCAGGCTGCTGTGAGTGCCATTCAGCAGAATTTTGCACTTGAATAAATGTAAAAAAAAAAGATGGGAAAGGAAAGTAACAGCCYGTGGAGGAATGAGGGGTTTACAGTTTGCATTTTTCTGTAAGCTAATGCCTCGCAGTGAGTAAGTCATCAGCAACATGACAAAGGCAGCCTAGTGACTGGCAGAGTGGCCCAGGGAGACTGCCTCTGGAACAGGACACTACCAAGGTGGCCCCTAAGAGCAACTTGGCTGGGGCCCAGGGTGGAGCAGGACCTGGCAGGGAGGCCATGCAGTTCAAATACGAGGCCTCAGGGACCCGCGGGAGGCGGGAACTACAAGGCCCTKCTGCAGCTGCCCCAGGGCTAGTCTGCACAGGGCCCTGCGCACAGATCCCAGGGAGGAAGCTTGACCTCGGGCTAGAGGACCCCTTCTAAGAGGGCTCAGTGACCCTCCCAGCAGGCCAGGAAACAAGTGTTCAGTTCTGAAGGGGGACTGGGCGCACCACAGTGCTACCCCAGAGCCACCTGGGCGGAAGACCTAACTGTTCCAGAGGAAGATTCAACAGAGTGTTAATGGTATGTGTGTGGGAGGACGGCGAGGGTGCAGGGAGGCGCTCATTTCTGTTCACAGCCTTCAGCACGGGCCAAGTTTGGAAGTCACTTGCTTCTATCCTTGTAGCTTTTTAATGTCAATTAGGTCATCCAAGTAGCTGGATCATAGGTTATTTCCGAATGGAAAAAGTTTCCTAATAAAAATAACTAATTCTGATCTTGCATTTTATCAAAGACCATGCTGGTTCTCCATTAATTTCTTCTTTAACATTTATAACTAAGCTCTAGTACTGCAAGTATCATCCTGGCATGGAGAGGGAAACTTGCAGGAGACCAAACGGCAGAGAGAGGAGAGGAGGAGGACGGTGGAGAGGTGACGGAGGGGACCAGGGCCCTAAACTGCTAACCCACAGGTGGCCACGAGGCTCTGCACCGTGCCCACACTCCCCTGTGGGGTGAGCGCTGACTGTGTCCGTGTGACACTCACAGCCTGCAGCCTCTGGCCCRGGCATAAGCAGGGCTGTGCTATTCCTGCTTCTTCCGTGCTCTGGAATTCCCAAGGGCGGCATTTTTGGCACGTCTAAATTTGGGAGAAATTCAGGCCACACATGTGGAAAAATATGTACTCTCAGTGTTTAAAAAATAAACAAAAATAAACATAGTCCTAGGAATCTAAGACTCTCACAAGTCACAGATAAAATTGGGTTTAAAAAAAAAAAGGATCATCTGTTCCATTAACATGAAACAAAAATTTCCAGGTTTTCTGTTTTAATGACACACCTCTGAGTGGTAATTTTCCCCAAGTTTAATTTTAAAGAAAAACCAAAGGTAAAAACATACCCTATAGTTCATAACTCTGATAAGCAACCTTGGGTTCTACAGGGARGGAGAGGGGAGGGAGGGAGAGAGGGAGGAGCCAGGAGCAGGGAGGGGTGGAGGAAACACCCCAGGCAGGCTGGGGGCCCCACTTCCTCACAGAGCCCCCAGGGAGAACACCCAGGCCTGGGGGCTGTGCTTCCCACCCTGCGTCTGCTGCTCCGGTTTAAAAAAAAAAAAAAAAACTTGGCCCTAAGCTTTCCAGAAGAATTTCCTTTTCTGCACACCCCCCCAAGCCTTGAAYGGCCTCCCCACCCCACTGCCATGACCTGGCTTTGAGGAATCCACTGACTCACTACAAATGAGAAAATCCATCTTGAACCCCTGGCAAGTTTGTAACTGTGCCTTTCCACTGACACAAACCGCAGGCACAGCCCAGTGACAGGCGGGGCAGCCCTGGGGACGGTAACTGGGGCTAGCTCCCCGGCTCCTCCTGGTGGGTGCTGGCCCAGGGCTCCCGGGGAGCGCCTCCCTCCCACAGCTGGTATCACAGTGCCCTGGGCCTCTGTGCCCTCTGGCTCGAAGGGCGGCTGACTGGAGCACCTCACCAGCAGCTTGGCGTCCTTGATGACACAGAGCAACTTGGTCCACTGGCCAAAGCGCTTCTTGCGCAGCAGGAAGGCACAGATCTTGGCATCCTTCACCAGGTCCATGGACGCCTCCTCTGAGGGCCACTGGTGCCGGGTCTTCTTCCCCTTCCCCTCYTCCTCCTCTTCATCATAGGACTCGTAGGAGCTGCTCATCGCATCCGAGTCATAATCTGCAGAGACCGAGGAGCACAGTGAGGGAACCCAACCCTGGAGTGCTCTCTCCTCGGGCTCAGAGCACATCCTGTTACTTCTAACAGCCAAGGAATTCATGAGAAAAGAGCTTTTGCCTCTGAAGAAAAAAGATAACTCTCCAGAGTCCAGGAGAGACGCTCAACCCAAGGTTTCAAACTGAAGTGTTCCAACTTCTCTCTCTCAAACCACCTGTCCACCGTTCCCGGGGCCCGGAGCTGCCTGGCRAGATCAGCCTCCCCTGCACTCTGGCTCACAGGGCCTTGGCTCCCGAGCCCACTCCTGGTTGGTAAAGCCTCAGTCTACACCACCTTCTTGCCACTGGCCTCCTCTCATGCACCGACCCTTCTGGACTTCAGGGACCAACTAAAGGCCTCCTCTCCCCGGAGTCACCCTTGGAACTGCACAGGAATTTCCCCCACCCTTCCAATGGAGTCCCCTCATTCTGAAACACACTAACACAGACCAGGTTGTTTTGAGTTTCCCAAAGACATCATGCTGTCCCTTACCCGAGACCTCTGCACAGGCGCAGCCTGCTGTGCTTCCACGCACCCCCGGGCCTTGACCTGGGGGTGCACCTTCAGCACTTGACTTACAGACACCTCCTCCTGCAGGCCCTCCCCAAGTACCAAAGCTGAGAGCCAGGCACCAGCCTGTAACCCCCAGCATCCAGGTGCTGAAGTTTTAATTCCCACGTCACTGAATTTAGAGAGAGAACTTTTAGGTACAATTAATGTTAAATGAGGTCATAGGGCAGGATCCTACTCCAACAGCACTGGCCTCACAAGAGGAGGAGGAGAGAGATCCCAGTGCCTCCGCACCACGCCCTCGTGTAAAGGAGTAAGAAGGCAGCACCCAGGATGGGGTTGTGGCTCAGTGGTAGAACCTTCGCCTAGCATGCAGGAGGTACTGGGTTTGATCCTCAGCACCACATAAATGTAAAATAAAGATATTGTGTCCACCTAAAACTAAAAAATAAATTAAAAAAAAGGCAGCACCCACAAGCCAGGCAGAGTCCCTCGCAAAAACCCACCAGGCTAGCACCCCAATCTTAGCAATTCCAGSCTCCAGAGCTGGGGAAGTAAAGTCTGTGGTCTAAGAGCCCCTGCAGCCCAGTAGACGGCATTTTGTTCCAYGCACACTGGGCCAAACGCTCCCAGTTCCATGCATCCTCACGCAGCCATGCTGGGTGGTCAGCGGCTCGAGGCAATGCMGATTCACTTCTGATGAACCCTGACCCTGGGATCACCAGGGACACATTCACTGTTCCAACATAGTTGAAGAAGGATGCCTGACGCAGCAGGACTGATAGATGAGGAGCAGTGGCAGTGCCGTGGGCCATACGACCTAACACAGGCTGTCACGCCCATGACGAAGCCAGTCAGGGCCACTCCAGGAGAACTGGGCTGCATGAAATAGTGACACTGACAGAGAAATGCCTTTTTCTTTGGGTCCTGTGATGGCTCCTCTRACCCAGCTCCCCCAAGGAGGCAAGGCAGGCAGGAAAGAAGAAGAGCAGCCTCGAACCAGGTTTTACTGGGGAGAAGCAATCCAAAGGAGGCAAGGGGTCAGGTTTCGGGGGTGACTCTAGCTTCCTGATGTCTGCTGTCAGCAGGTTGATTGACATCTAGGAAGGCCACACCTCTCTCATGCGCTATGTGATGATCAAAGGCAGAGCCACGAAAGGGACACAATGTGCACAGCCCAGACAGGGGCATCATCAGTCCAGTCTGYTCTGCGCTCAAGGTGCTCACAGCTCAGATGGCCCAAGGCTGGCCCGCCACGTCTCCACATTCCTGTGCTCAAAGCTAGGGGGCGCTCAGCTCCTATGTGGCAGCTCCCGACCACAAACCCTCCACATGCACGCCTGTCACTACAACAGGGAAATGCACCCAGTGGTGACGTTCACATTTCAGTGTTCTGGCAAAGAATCAATACTTGGGACAAACAGATGAACGGTCGAAGGTGAACTTTCAGTGGTGAAAAGAAGCCAAGGAGGATTTGAGGCAAGAACCAGACCGACAGCGTAACCCTGGCAACAGGGTGGRTGGCAGCTGCAGACCACGGGAGCCACATGAAGACTGTGGCTTTCACCCCTGGGTGGGCTTGGAGGCTCTGAATGAAGAGGTGACCTGCTCAGGCTCTGAGATGCCCAGTCCGGCAAAGCCAGCCTGGCTATAGTTAGAAATGTATGGCATATAGTTGGTCTATATAATATGGTATATGTATGGCCCACAGTCAGGGATACGTGGCATGTGGCCCACAGTCAGGGATACGTGGCATATGGGCTATAGTTAGGAATACTCTAACTCGCTCAGCTTCCTGGAGACTCAATGTATTTGAGATCATCTTGTCGTTCTCGCAGCTACTCTGAGGATCAGATGAAGGACACAGGAAAGCCCCACGTGACCCTGAACACCCAAGGATAGGTGTACTGCACCTGTCACACTATGGCTCACGGCAGGCCTATAAGGCCAAGATGATCCCCAAACACGAGCTGTATCAATGAACTGGGTGCACATGTGCCCGTACCCCCTGAAATCAGGAATGACATTCTAAACTGTGCTCCTTGACAAGAGAGAGGGACGAGGGCAAGAGGAGAGGGGAAATAGAAAACTAAAAATGAAAATGAAATCTGAATCTGCAGCCAAACATAAGAGCATAGCAGGGCTGTACTGAGTACAGGGGTCATGTCTCTTCTTGACTGCCCTGACGGTCCAGGCTAGCTCTGGCCAGGAGAGAAACCTGCAAGGGTTCTGGCAGAAGGGAAGGAACCCTGGGAGACAGGCACCAGCTACCCAATCCCGGGGAGGCCTGGCCCGGAGGCACTTGCTCTTGTAGGCAGCCCTTGCCCTCACGGCCACTGTGGCCTTGGTCTCCAGTGACCTCAGGAGGAACCAACCGTCAGTCTACATTTTCAGGGGGAGGAGGTGCACAGGCTGAAGAGGAAAAGGGGGACCTTTCAACATATTAGATTTCTCAATCTTCAGAATTTCAACTTCACTGGGCCTCGTAGCCAACTTACATTTCCCAATTAGAGCATGTGTTCSAGTGGGGCTAGACAGCAGCAGGGGTTCAGAGGCAGGACCCCAGGGAATTTGGTGTCACCTTCCAACATCAGGTTGGGTTCTGCTTTGCTGAGGTAGCCACATGCTGCCAAGGAAGGGAAAGACTCCAAACGCAATGTCTCTGTGGAGCAGAGACTTCAGGTAATGCCACGTCCACTCTGGCTGAGGGCTCGTCTCCTGAGGAGCACAGCCACGGGGAGACGGCTGCAGGGAGGACCGTGCACTGGAGAGCTGTGTGTGAAGTCAGTGAGCACACTCACTCCTCACAGACCCGTCTTTCATAAAGAAGCAAGGGCCTTCCCCAAGGACATACGATCACACATTCGACTTCTTGAGACAACAGCACTCTSCCTGACAGACTAAGAGGAGAAATCACATCAATAATACAAAAAGAAGTTCCAGAATAGTGAGAGAAGGGTTTTCAGCAGTAGCATGTTACTGTCTGTATTGGAAAGCTGGGTGCTGACAAAGGTGTGCTCCCGTGGGTCCTCAGCAGGCCCCTACTGGGCCAGGAGAACTATGACTTGGTCAAAAAATCCCCAGTAAAACCTGCATGCCCCCAGAAGGAACAAACAATAAAGAGAAGTCTGCCACCCGGGGGTCTTCGTTCTATGCCCCTGACTYAAGCCAATGCTCAGCGTGGGAGGGACACCATGCCCCACCTAGGAACAGGGCGGGTCACAGCGTGGAAGTACCCCACAAGGGGCCGCTTCCCTTCCCACAGAGGGACGCACTTTATCGCTGCCTATCTCCCGGCCAGAGGCTCCGCTGACTCTGAGTCACCAGGAAGGTGGTGGTCAGATGAAGGCGCTGGCAGGCACCTTGGCCTTTCCAAAGCCCTCTGTCCTTAGGTTCMAGATTCCCTTGGCCAACACTTACCGTGTTATAGTCCCCAGTCCCCCTGCATGCCCAGCAAGGCCCCTGGGCTCTGCAACAATCCTGCAAACCACTGGCCCACTCACTTGATGTGATGTATTCCGGAGCTTTCCCAGGACTCAACGGCACGGCCTCCTCATAGTAACCTTCCGGGAGAGAGGATGTCGGCAAAGGTGGAGGCCCGCTGTCAGGAGGCTGAGGGGAAAAGGAACACCGTGCTCACATTAGCATGACCACTGGAAGGAAATGGCACATTAGCAGGTGTGGGCTAGCATTTCCTGCTTTCCTTTACCAAATTTTATTATAGTTAAAGCTTCATCCGAGGGTTTCATAAACTGACTTCCAGACCACTCACGTATAATCGAATCAAGCCTTTATTGAAGCACACTGGTGGTGGCTGACCAGAACATAAAGGTGTCCCCCTGATCAGCCCCTAGCAATTGCAAGGGCGCTCCTTATAAGCCTGAAAACCGCAAAAGGGATGTTCGGGGGTCTAGCCAATGCAAGCAAGCCAGGTTACAGAAGCAGGATAGTGCAGTCAAGCGGAGGGAAGCCTAACCAATCACAGTTAGCCCAGTCACYCCAGTTACAGAAACAGAGCCCCGWTACCYTAGTTACAGAAACAATACCCCATTAGGTAGTTCTGTGTTCTTAAAGGTTTCTATAGCAAAAGGAAAAGAACATCTTGCTCCAGTCATGACTCTTCTACTTGGCATGGTTGTTTTACAGGATGAAGTCATAAAACAAAATGGAGTCACATTTGCTCCTACTATCACAGTGTATGCCAAAAAAGAGTCATCCTACAAAGAGGCCCAGAAGGTCAGCTCCTGATAGACTCCCACCATGCTCCTGTTCACATCCAACTTCCAGGCGTACCCTGCATGTGCCACTCAGGCCCCAACAGGCCAGAGTTCCACACAGGCACAGCACCATCCTGCCTGAGGGTCATCTGCACATCCCAGGCATTGAAGCCCCTTCCCCCCAATCCAGCAGGGCTGCCCCACACCTGCCCTTCTGGCACCTCCCCAGCTGAGACAGGGTGTGCACCCCCTCTATCCTGGCGGTTCCCACCATCCCCCCTCGAGCTGAGCTCTCCTCATGGCCAGGTCACTTAGGCAAGCTCCTGGAGCAGAGGCGCCAGAACCACATAGCTGGACCAGGAAGGGCTGTCCACACCTCATGGCACTCCTGAAACCCAGGGCGCCAACTACCTTGGAGCCACCCAGAGAAACTGGAGACTGTGTTCTGGAAAGTGCCTGTGCTGACCTGAGCCCGCCCCTTCACGACAGGGTCCTGACCATGGTGCTGAGGCCCCCTCTGGCCTGGAGGCTGTCATTTTTACATATAGGAGTTGGGAGTTTCACCCTCAGCACCACCCAGGTCTCACGTCCCCCWTCTCTTCCTGGACTTTGCGAAGACTCTAGTCCACGCACCACTTACTCCTCTGGATATCGCCAGGAGCCCCAAGGTCCTTCTGACGAGAGAAGAGGTGGAGGGCACGAGATGGGAGCCCTGAGCTCTGCCCACAGGCTACACTGGCCAATCCAGACAGGAGCCTGCCGGCCCTGTGTCGTGACACGGCACAGATGCATACTTGGAGGCTCAGAACCAACACATCCTGCTCAGAGCTGCCCGAGTACTGACCGAGCGGGGTCTGCAGACACCACTGTGTGCGCTCAAGACCCCCCCACACACCTCCACCCTCAGTGGTGCAACACTATTCCACACTATCCGCATTCTCCAAATAAATGGGGAAGGAGCATGTCATGGAGCACGGAACTGCACAGCACCCCAAACTGAAGATCTACCAAGTGAATTTTCAAGTAGCACATGTTCTAGTGAAAACACACGGTTTCCGTTTTTTATTCTTATGTAAACTCTCTACAACGCAAGTCCATCACTTTCCTCTGGACTTGAGTCCAGAAGTCCTCTGTGAATGACTGAGCAGCTGCTGCATGTCCCCATTGCCAGCTGAAGGAGGAGCGCCCACACCAGACCATGGACCCCGCTCCTTCAGRCCCTTGAAGACAGCCGCTCCCTTTCACCCGTCCTTGTTCCCAGATTGAACAGCGCCGACCCCGAGAGCTCTATCAGAAGCTGTGTCCCAGCCATCCTCCTCCTCCCACCCTGCCCAAACCCAGGGCCTTCACATCCTCCTGCACAGGCCACTGGGCACCAGGGTTAAGGCCAGGGTGGGAGGCCAGGCCAGAGTGAGATCCGGCGTGCTGCAGGACTTCACTCAGGGAGCGTCTTTTGTCTGTGAAGGCAGGGTGCTCCAACTTCCTGGAGGATGRTGAGAGCCTCAGGTCCCTCAGTAGCCCTCAGGCAGGGGCAGCATCATGGGTGCTGAGACAAACAGGCTTCTTACCTACAAAGGTCTGACTCTTCCTCAGAGCTGCAAGGCCAAGGTGAGGAAGGCCCAGACTCTCTTAATGAAGGGGATTCCCACACAGATACTGTTAGATATGGAAAATGGAAAGCCCCAAAATAGTGTGGCCTGGGAAACGGAGTGAAAAAGAAAGCGGAAAAAAGAAAGCCCCACATTGATCGTTTTCATCCCTTCCAAGACCAGTCCTCCCCAGGTGCTGCCCACAGGTGGGGAGAAGGTGTTCCACCTGACCTGGARTATCAGGCTCTGGGAGGCACTCATCTCTTCCAAGACAAATCCTCTCCAGATGCTGGCCACAGACCCCCAACCCCAAAAACCCAAATTCCTGAGTGACCACTCACTAAATCACCTCTCAGTATAACGTACGTAAGTCCACACTTTCCTCCAGGAAAAGTGGGTCCCTCCGAGATGTGTCACCCTGTTCCTGAATGAAACTCCATTCCTGAATAGAGAGCTGGGCTGACAGTGAAGTCAGCGTCCAGCCCCGGCCCTTTGTGCTAACATAGTGCCATCCTCTAGACCCAATAATTCCACCTCTAAAAACATATTGGTCATGTGAGGCAAAAAGTTGTAAGAAAGTCCAATAAAAGTTTTTTGTCAAGATCCGAGAGCAATCTAAACGTGCACCCAAAGGAGAGCACCGAGCTGGGTGGCCTCACTCACCGCAGGCGTGCAGGGGCCAGGCAGCCCACAGCGCTCACCTGAACACTTCTCGGACACTGCAGAACAAAAACAYGACTCTTCTCGGCCCTTCCCTTGTGTGTTTCTGCTCATGTAGTACAAAGACAGAAGGCCACTCACCAAAACGTTAACCAGCGGTGGCTCTTCGCTATGTGTGTCTGGACAGCTTGGTTTCCAACACACCATGTTACCTTTAAATTCATTTAAAATATCAAACTATTTTCACTATGAAATAATACCCTTCAAATGACTCCCACAGAAGCACCCTCTCCTCCACTGCTGTACGCCGTTTCCCCTGGGACCCCTTGCAGGGTCCTGACACTTGAGCTTGTCAAGGTCAAATGGGGAGAGCTGCAAAGAGGTGCCAACCTGCGCAGGCCACTGCGTCCAGGGGAACTGATTCCTTCAGAGACCTTCCAGTAAGGTAGAGTCCACTGCAGTCATGATCAACRTGACTCTGAATGGTCCCAAAGGGGGAAGGCAGGTTTCCAAAAGGGATCAGAAGACTTTAATTCTATATATTATAGTGACAGTAATCAAATTGTTTTTCTGGTCACAGTAAATAAAATCTACCAAAAGTAATGGCCAAAAATTATATAATCTGAAATAAAAAAGAACCAGGGTTCAAATAAAACCCATCACACACCAGCAGCACCCCAAGGCAGCCATGCCTAACCCAGCTCCCCACACCTTGGGTCTGCCACGCTGCAAGGGAAATGGGACTGGACTACAGTGATTGTCAGTGGACAACAAACGGCAAAAATGGTTTCAGCCCTAAGACCAAGGAGCGAGCAAACACTCTTCTTTGCAAAATTACAGTCTCCGTGCAGATCCTGCCCATTCCAATCTGATCACTGATCTGCACTCCACACGGCACTTGGGTGCATGCTGGGAAGGCATTCCTCCATGTTTACTCTAGTTCTGTTTATGCATGACAAGGAGTGATGGGCCCAGGTGGCATGTTCTCTCCCCTTCCTCTTCCACCAGTAGGTAGGCACTCAGAGGAAAGGCAGAGGGCCAGCGGGAACAGACTGCGCTTGGGACTCCAGCGGAGAGACTCTGAGATAAAGTGCTGCTAGGATTGCAGGTGGGGTGAGACCTGGAGGTTCTGAAAAGATGACGGAAAGGGAATGAGATGGCTCCCATCCCTGAAAGGCCCACATCTGGCTCCAAGGGCAAACAAGGGWTGCTCCTGCTTTAAGTCCCAGGCATCAGTCAGTGCTGCAACTCCCAGAGCTGGTTGTGTCACATCATCTCAAAGGGACTCCACCTCATCTGTCAACAGATAGCGAAGGTGCTGTGAAGCATGGGGTACAGCAAGAGTGAAGGGCAGCCACGGGGAGGCACCGGACTCTGTTGTTTCATGGGAAGTGGAATGGCGTAGGGGATGGAGCTGGTGCCTCATGGGGACTGATTTCATTTGGGGAGTCAGAGCTCTGGAGATGGACAGTGGTGACGGTGGCACAGCAGTGTGCGTGTGCTTAATGCCATGAGCTGTGCACTCAAAATTTGTTATGAGGGCTGGGCGGTGGCTCAGTGGTAAAGCATAAAGCACTTGCCTGGCATGTGTGAGGCACTGGGTTCGATTCTCAGCACCACACGTAAATAAACAAAATAAAGGTCCATCAGCAACTAAAACTATAAGAAAAAAAACTTGTTAAGATGTCAAACTCATGCTATGTCCGCTCTATAAAAACAAACTCCACGGTATCTGCTGGCAGAGTGAGGCTTCCATGGTACATGAGCCCTGGCTCTGATCTATATCGAAGATTCGGACTGTGCCAGCCGCTCTGCAYACCGCAACCTGCCGCTCTGCACGCTGCCCAACTTATCAAGCGGGCGTTTCAGGAAGCCTGGTCCAGTAGCACGTGTGCGGCCACACAGCCCCGAGGAGCCTGCCCGCTCTCCCCTCCTCCATCAGGAGGGTGGAAGGTGTCCCTGCTTTTAGACTAGTGCTGTTGGAAGGCAAGGAAGCAAGGCAGAAAGGAGCCCTAGTGTAAGGGCTGCTGAGCTCTGGTGGTGCGGCCATCAGCACAGCAAGCCGTCTGCAGGGAACCGCTCGCTTTCCCCACGAGCTCTCAGCACTGAGGGTGTAGGAGGGACATCAGTTTGAGCCACACAATTCTCAGAGTCAGTCAAACAAATCTTTTGGCAAACACAGCTCTTCCAGAAAGGGTTTTATCACACTTTACACATTTAGCCTATCGAAGTCCACGTGAAGACTAAGAGGCCACAGTGGAGTGGTACACGACGTGGCCTCAGGAGAAGCCACAATCCCACAACACATGCGCTTGCCCTCTCAGAAGCCCTCCACAGACATGCTTACAGTGCAGAAGCCTCCGGTGCACMGAGGACACCTCAGGCTGCCTGCAGGTCTCCTCCAAAGGCCACCTGGGCACACGCAGACATTCCCTTGTTTCTAAAAGCATCACTCGTCTCAAAACCGGCCTCCCACTYGCCCTGCTCTTGAGCTGTAGGCAGCATGCCCTGTGTACAATGCCATGTGAGAAACAGAAGCCCAAGGAGCGTGCCATCCCCAGCAGCTGGAGGCTGAGCTGAACCGCAGCAGTGTCAAGACAGCGCCCAGCTGCACGCACACCACCAGCACCCGTGGGGACAGAGACGTGACCAATGATCACAACTCCCAATGCATTTGTACCCAAGGACACCGATAAGGCACTGCCCATATAATACACACCACCGAGGTGAGTGCCAGACACAGCAGTGTTCCCAGGCCCAGGAGATAATTTATACTCAGAAAAACCAGACACCAAAAAGAAGTCTCCAACGGCTTGCTTGGCTTCTGTGACAGATTCCACACTTTTCTGTGCAGCCCGCCTGCCTAGACTGCCATCACCCAGCCACATCCCTTCCCCAGCAGTCCCAGGTATCTGCAGTGCTCCAGGACATCTGCTTCATGACGGGACTCCTCTGCCTAGCACTCCTCCTCCCAAYCATGGCACCTGAAAGTCAGTCTGCCAGAAGCAAGGAGCATGGCCAAAAGCCAGTCCCCCAGGCAAACTTCACTTCCTAGATGGCGACTTACCTGCCCAATGTCACACTCACTGGAAACCCTCCAAAAAATGTAGCAGAGCTGCCCTAACCAACCCCTGCCCGATGTCCTCCAGGCCCTCTGCAGCACGCCCTGCTGGGGTTCATAAAATGCCAACACTCACAGCCAACAGGCCCTCCTAAAGCGCCTATGGGACAGCCCCTCAGGACAGCAATGGACCTAACAAGCCAGGTGGACTCTTTAATATTGTATCACTGTAACTATTTATTTCATTATTATGTAAACAAACAAAAATGAGCACAGAAGGGCTGACAATTCTCTGAGATGCTCTCAAAAGATCTGTCAAGACAAACTGAAAACAGAAACTATCCCATGTCCACCGTGAATGAGCAGACCACACTCACAGAATTCCAGGGGCCCTCCGAGTCGGCTTTCTATCACTGTGACACCACAGTTCACATAACGAACTCACAGAGCAAAGGCCCAGGTCTCTTGTGGTCTGGATGTGATGCAGGGTATTCAGCGGTGAGGCCACTGATMGTGCCAGCTGCAGCCTCATTAGCCCAGGCTCCTCTGAATGAGTGCTGGGTGGTACCGGTGGTAGGTGGGCATGGATGGGGGAGTGGGTCCCTGGGGTTGGTCCTGGAAGGGTGGCCCTTCCCCTCTCTGCTTCCTGCTCCATCATGAGCTGAGCAGCTTTCCTCTGCTGGCCCTTCCCCCAGGACACGCTGCCCAGCCTTGGGACCAGAGCAATAGAGCCAGCCATTTATGGACTGAGACCTCTGAAACCATGAGCCCAACTACACTTTTTCTCCTCTACATTGCTTTTGTCAACTCAGAAGCTGACTAAAGCACAGCATTAGAAATTCCAGAGCGTGATGGGCAGACTGGTTGCTTTAGGCCTTTGGTGGGGCACCAGACACCTGCAGTGGGGAGCACACTGCTCACCCCATGGCAGGAGGCCAAAAGTGAGAGCGAGAGGGGGGTCCCACAATGCCCTCTGGGGGCATGACTCCAAGGACCTAAGGCCCTCCCATGAGGCCCTTGTCCTAAAGGTTCACAGCACTTCCCAAAGCACACTCCAGGGCCCAAGCTTTTAATGCTTGGGCCTTTGGGGGACATTTACCACATGAACTACAACATGTTCTAGACTCAGATAGCATTATAAAGCTGGGGGTTACTAACGACATGAACACATGCACCAACTGTGCCGAAAAGCAGCCTAACCCAGGGAGTAGCCCCACGTTGGAAGAACGCAGCTCTTGACCTACACCAAACACAATCTCCTCACAGCAAGCAACAGCCTCTCCTGGGTGTCAAATAAAAACTCTCGATTCCCAGGTACAAGGAGCCACCAGGGAAAACTGCCCGTTGCTCAAATTGTTACTCAAAAGTTACTTATTTAAAATTAAAATATTGAAAGCATGTTAGTATCTTCAAAATTTATCAGAACATATTTTGTTAACCAACTACTGCTAAACAACTGTGAGAAGGAGGGCTTCTCTCTACCTTCAGCCAGGCCAATCTGCCACAGCCATCYGGCAGCCAAAGCCAGGGTGTGTCCGGTGCACCCAGGGCTATAATGCCTAGGCTTGTGTCACTCCACCATGGTGACACAATGACAAAATCCCCTAACGACACATTTCTCATATTGTAGCCCTACTGTTAAGTGACTTGTAACTTCATCATCTTCTTTTTTTGTGTGCTGCTGGGATCAAATCCAGGGCCTCGTGCATACTAGGTAAGCAYTCTACCACTGAGCCTCATCCCCGGCCCTTTAATTTCTTAAAGTTGCTGAGGTTGGCCTTCAACTTATGACCCTCCAGCCTCAGTCTCTCAAGCACCATTGCACTCAGCAGGAATCTGCACTTTTACAAGATACCCAGGGGTGCTATGACTTCAAAAGTGTTGTCCTAAACAGCAGTGGCTTGTCCAGGACTGAGTGGCTGCCAGGCCTACAGCTGACCCAGTGAGAGCACCGCTGAGAGGGCTGGGTCTGGACTCACAAGACGAGGCTGTGACTCTGCTTTTCCTGGGAATATGGCCTTCAGTAGGCCATCATCACTGCACCTCCACCTCCTCTCCTGGGAGATGGCACACATCCTCCAACGAAGGGTGCTTCAGGGCTCTGTGAAGGCTGGCTATGAAGACCAAGGAGGCAATGTGGCCCTCATATGTGGTCTAACTTACTGCAGCTTCAGCTACTTACAGTCATTCTTGGTCCAAAAATATTGTGAGAAGCTCCAGAATTAAACAAGTCATAACTTTTAATTAACTTTTGTCACAGCACAGTGTCATGACTACTCCACGTAGTCATTGGTGTTATTGGTGTTGACTGACTATGCCTAACTTATAAATGACCTGGGCATGTGTGCACAGAAAACAGCACAGCCTGGGAGGGGTGTGGCTGCTGGGGGGCTTTGGCACCCCATGGGCCTAGGAGGCACCCTGTAGATGGGGGTACTCTGTACATGAGAATGGGACACAGGTGACATGGGAGCCACGTCGGAACCCAGCAAGTACTGCGAAGGTGACTGGTGGGCGCCTCCCAGACCTGGCCCACTGCAGGCCAGGCAGAGACAGAGRTGTGTGGGACCCGGTCCTGCCTTTCCCTGGCTCATACCCTGACAGGGAGAGAACTGGGTGACTCCTCCCAAGAGCATATACAGAAAGCAAATTGATAAGTGACCAATTTTGCCCTGACTTTGAATGAAAGTCTAACTTTCCTGACTAAGCAAGTGAGAGAACCACGAAATGCAGAAAATGGTGAAGGACAGAAAAACCTGCGTATGTGAGTCTCCCCAGGTGGGGAAAGGCCAAGGAGCGAAGAAAGGGACCAAACAGACTTCAAATATGTAAAACCACACAAAATACACATTCTAGAGAGTGCTCTTATTTTTCTCTCTTAAAAAAATATTGAACACTATATCTCAGAAGATGCTTAGCGATGAATACTCAAGTTCCAGGCTAAGGCATTCAGGGTTAACCCAGAAAGAAGGTCAAGTCTTTAGGCTCTGCTGGCGTGTTTTGCCTGCCAAATCCTCGTTTTTCTGGGGTTTTTTGTTTGTTTTGTTTTCTTAATTTGCTTTAAGAACAGATTCCCAAGAACTTGTAGCTTCAGCAACCTGCAAAGAAACACCACTGTCCTCTGGGATGGCTATACTGAAGGGACTCCCCACAGCTGCACAGCAGCACTGGGCCTARAAACAGGCATGCCTTGAGCAAAGCAAGGCCTCGGATCTGGGCTTCCACCACCACATGCCCTGGGGCTTAAGGGCAACCAGACCCCCAGGGATCCAGGGACCAGTGCAAAGGTATCACTCACCAGCCAGGGCTGAGGAATCTCTGGCAGAGGCATCTGAGGGGGTGCTGGCAGGCTGCTGGCCTCTTGCTTCTGAGCATGATCCTTCACTTCAAAACCTGCAAGTATTAACCAAACCCACAGAGCTGGAGGAGGAGGAGCAGGGGGCCTCTAGCAGCTATCCTTCCCCAATCCCACATCAAACACTCTGCAAACGCTAGGCTCTCTTAAGTTCTTACAACACTCCTGCAGGTCAGTACATCCTTCTCTATTTTACCAGTGAAGAATCTGTGGGGAGGAGAAGGGGGGAAGGGGAAAGAAGGGGAGGGGAGAGGAGGCGAGGGAAGGGGAGGAAAGAGACAATCTCTACCACACACACACAAAAAAAAAAAAATAAATGGGTTTTTAAAAAGTTAAAGAGCTGAAGAAAGAATTAGTGAAGTGGAAAATATCAGCAGACGCATCCTGAAGGAGCACGTGAGACAGGGCGGGAAGCATGTCTGCACCCACAATCAACCAGGTCGCCACACCATGCACGTTCAGTGTGCTGGCAGATCGGCCACCTTCCTGACTGGCAAGGCAAGCTCTAATTGCCAGGCCATGGCTTCACAGACCAAACACCAAGACACTGCATACCTGCGATGGTCTGCACACATCTCTATAAGGAAGTGTAAAGGAAAGACCCCTACATCTCCTCAGGATCTGGACCTCCAAAATCCTAACCTGGTGTCCTCAGGAGGGCCTCTGCCACACTTTCCTCTCACTGGCCTCATTGGATTCTCCTCTTCAGTGCCTTCCTAATGCTACAACGATCCCCTACATCCTTGCAGGCCTCCTCGGTCCTATTTTTCTGTCTTACCCATTTTCAGAAAAGTTCACACAGTCCTCAGGCCTGAGGCTACTAGCTGAGGAGGGGCTGTCCTGCAGCCCTGGCCCTGGGCTGGCATCTGGGAACATGGATTTCAGGTGTGTTTCCTGACTGGTAATGCTGGTTGTGGTGCCTAGGCTGCTCGTGCAAACAGCAGGGCTTCTGCTGTACACCTGCTTTCATGAGAATCTGGAGTTCTGCAGGTGCGGGAGGTGCCTACACCCCTGAGCCCGAGTCTCTACGCTGCTTCCCTGAACAGAAACAGCACAGGCTGCCGCACTTGTGCTGTTGAGTCTGCTCTGGGTGACCCTCGCAGGAGGGGGAGCACACACAAGCCCCCGTGTGGGTTCCCAGGGCTGTGTGGGGGTCTCTTCCCCTCCTTCAGGCAGGCCGAGTCTCTTCTCTGCCGTGTGATATGCCCTGGGCATGAACAAGTACCACTRTGTGCTAGTCCCGAGTGTACTTCCAGCTAATGTTGGGGTGCTCTGGTGCTCTAGCACACCCATGATTCTACTGACTCCTAAAGGCTTAATCTTTCTATACCCAGAGGTCAGAAGGAGATGGATGTGCCAGGTGCAGTGGATGAATAACTTGGGAAAATTTGGTGAATAAACAACTTTCACAGGTTACTGGACAAGGGAATGCCCTTCAGAGGAAGCAGAATTGAAGTGATGTCAGAGCCAAAAGAGCCTGGGAAGCGGGCAACGAGGYTGGACGTGACTACCTTTGGGCGACTGGATCCGCAGCAGGATGTTGGTCAGTGCGGCCTTCTTCTCCCTGACAGTTGCAGTGAGATACTCATGGTCCAGGAGTTCAAGAAAGAGGCGAAGTTCCACTATTAACTCTTCCATTGCTGGAAACCAAGGAGAGAGCAGGAAGAATCTCATTAGGCCCATTGATTTGCAAATGCCAAAACAGGAAGCTAAGCCTCACTTGGAGCTGCTGTCCTTGGCTTGGTGGCCATGGAATGCACACCCCAACATGAGAGGCAAGTGTGCTGGAGCCAGGGACAATAGATTCATGCACCATCCTCTTTACAAAGGCCTCACTCCTTCCCTTTTGCTTTCAGGCACCAAAACTCAGCTGGGAAAAGTGCCAAAGCTGGCTGCCAATAGATGGTGTTGTACCCAAAAACTTGTGACTCTGCATGGGTGTCGGCATGTGATATTAAATTTCAATGGCAAGGAGGAGATGGGAGATTAAAATGCCGAAGCATTCGAGTAAGCATTCGAGTAAGCATGGCACGGCTTCAGAAGCACACCAGCCTCTGTGCCAGGACGCCAGTGAGCACATTCCACCCCACAGCAAGGGAGGCTGATGCCCGGGGATCCCACCAGCTCTCTCCTCAGATGTCCACAGCCACTATGCCCGCAGCTGTAACTGACGGTGTGAACCTGGGGAACTGCAAACCCTGCTGGGGGTCCTCATGTCCACACTATCTCTCAACACTGGGGCCTTCCCAGCCTCTTCTACAAACCTGAGGGCAAAGGGCAAAGCCACTAGCACCTGAGCACCAACATGCCAGCACCCACAGGACTCTCCACAGGTGAACAAGGGCCACTCTAAGGTGTACTTGATGCTGACTGTGTGGTAAAACCACTGCTTTTATTAAGTCTCAGCCCTTGAGGCCACCCCCCTTTCCCATCCTGTCAAATAAGTCACGCTCCTGCAGATGGAAGCAGGCTGGCCTTTGGAAAATTCACTGGCACAACCACTGGATTGGGAGCCTCCTTATGCCACTGCTTTCATGTAGCTTGAAAGAATGAATGACAGGCCAGCTATGACTATCCGGACTTGAGCACCTGGCAGACACGTCCTCAGAAAGGAGCAGAGTGGGCTGGGCTGTGGCTCAGTGGTAGAGAACTTGCCTAGCAGGGGGGAGGCACTGGGTTTGATCCTCAGCACCAAATATAAATAAATGAAGAAAATATATATATATAAAATTTATTATTTATTTTCATTGTTGATGGACCTGTATGTGTATGTATATATATATATATATATATATATATATATATATATTTTTTTTTTTTTTTAAAGAAATGAGTGCACTGTCACTTCAAGGTGGATGACTGACAGCATTTTTTCCCCAATGATAAAATTTGAGCTTCCAAGTGAAAATAAGAACTTTGGAAAATGTGTATCCACCAGTGGAATAGAGCTTGACAGTCTCCCTGTACCAAGAGCCTGTCCTGTCGGGATCAGGAGTGCCATCAACACACCTGAGTCTGCTGATGTTGCATAATGTAGTCTACATCTGCGAGGTCTGCACAGATGTTCTAAAATCACATGTTGATAAAAGATCCACCATAARTACCAAACAAACTGCAGCACCCAGCATGGCGGAGGAGAGCACAGCCCAGGCCTCCACCTGGCAGTGAGTTTTGGCCGTGCCACCTCGTGTGTGTCAAAATCGCCATTTTCTACAAAGGCTGTTGGAAGCCTCCTGTCCCCAACCACTCCTCTGAGCAAGACCAGGCTTCTCCATGATGATGCCTCGGGACAGTGTGGGTGAAGGAGAGGACCTAGAACGCAAGTGTCTCTACTAAGCCAGGGACAACTTGCTCAGAAGCCTGGAACCACACGGCTCTTCTCATCTCGTTTTGGCAAATGCTGCTGCTTTTCATAAACATGTCTTAAATGTGTTACCATGAAATGGGCTGATAGAGTTTAGTGAACTGATTAACATCTTAAAATGTGCCAGTTTTAAACGGTAATGTGATAAATGTCCACATTTTCACCCACACAAATAAAAGCTTTTTGGGGGTCTTCAAAATATATTTTCAGACTAATAAGTCTGTGAATTGCTAATGTAGGCAGTTTTTTCATTTCTTCATCCATTCACTCATTCAGCAAACATCCTGTGTCAGAAATACACATCATACACCTTGACCGAGGAAAACATAATAAAAATGATTCACACAAACACCTACTCAAAGGGTTAAAATGGCCAGTTATTGTCAGGTTCTTTTTTAACCCTAATTTAAAAAGAACCTGACAATATCAAAATATCAGAAGAGGGTCTCAGAGTGCAATGCCTAACTTAGGTTCCTCACGGAGCTCCCACTGAGCACTTTGTGCAGACCTCTGTGAATCTCAGATTTTAACCATCCTGGGGTCGGGGTGCCCAAACCACACCCCTCTCCTTGGGAGAACAGCTCCCAACAAGACCCYGCAAATCATCTCCCACGCAGCACGGCGGCTAGAATTAACTAAGCCTCAGCCAAGCTGTTCAACTGGATTCTCCTTCCTGTATGTTCCACCAGGGAACCAGAAAGGCCAGCCATATCAGGGTCCACAGAGCAGTGTGAGGGCACGCAYGCCAAAGAGGAGAGCCACCCCGGGAGGGAGAGACGCAGCCAACATCTCAGAAGTCAGCGTGCTGGGGCAGGAGACCCCTCGAGAGGAAGAATTGGGTRATGACGTGACTGGGCCCGCATACTCTCCCACCCCACTGTCAGTTACSTGGGAAACTGCATGCACTTGAGGTCCATTAGGACATTCATCTCCTTCTAGTAAATTCTCATTTCATCTTTTTACTGAGTGAATATGGAGTTAGCTTCTGTTTACCTGAWATTGCCGCCAAAAGACACTCAAAACCAGTCACAGCATCTCAGGATGCAAAGTATCTCCCTGTCAGAGAGCTGTGACAGAGAAGGGAACGCACAATAAACCACATTCCACACTTGGCCGTCCTTTTAATACTTGCCCTGTATGTCCCACCTTCTTAGTAGACACCTATAAGGTTTATTTGGGTTTTGTGGTGGTTTGATATTCTCATGCAGTCTAGCAGTCTCATGCTTTGCTTATCTCCAAACACCTTCCTGCCGCCACGAGCTCAATCCGCACAGAAAGCACGCAAAAGTTCCTGGACAGGGAAATGGTGTTTCCAGAGAGCTGCGGCATGAAGGCTCTGGGTCTGCCACCACAAGGGCACTCGTGCTGCCCAGCTCAGAGTGGACATAAACACTGCTGGGGTCAGRTGTCAAGGAACTACAGAAGCACAGCACTTCAGAGAGGAGCCGTCTGCAGGGCACAGAGACTTGGCAAAGGAGCAGGCAGCGTGAGTGCCATGCAGGCCCTGCCTCCTGGGGAGCCCCGGCCAGCACAGAGGGAAGGCCATGGCAGCGACTCCCAGGCACATGGGGAGAAGGCTGTCTAGAACATGCYACCAGCAAGCTCTGCTTTGTTTTGTTTTGTTTCTGGAATTAAACAAATTGGACAGTGAAGAGGACCCAGGCCCTCAGTCTGTTAAAAGGTGACAGCAAGGCTCTACCATTACAACGGCACCGGGCCGCAGACTCCAGGTTGGATTGGTCTATTGGAAGACAAAGTCCAGATATGGACCCAAGTGCATGTGGAAACACAGCGTGTGATTAAAAGGCAGTGCCTCAAAATCAAAGAAAAAGATGACAACTTCATAGTTGGGATTAGTAGCCCCAAATGGTAGCCACTTTTAAAAAAATAAAATCCCATCAAGAGATGAGCAGATAAAGATATTGTGATAGATATACAAAAGGAGCTCCATTATGTCATCTGCAGAAAAATGGATAGAAATACAGACCATGATTTTTCAACAAAATAAGTGAGACACAGAGAGAAAAGTATGCTATGTTTTCTCTCATCTGTGGAAGGTACAGGGGAAAAAYAGAAGCCCTAAAGATAGAGGAGACCATCAGGGTGGAGGGAGGAGGCGGGCTGAAGTGGCGGAGCTGAGCTGTGGCCTGTGTGGACTGCAGTGCGATGGTCCCGCCCTCTGTATAGCTGAGATGCCCCAGTAAAAAGTACCCACTGCTGTCTCTCCACACCTGTGCTGTAATTCCTGATTTAAGTAGTGTGCTAATAAATAACTCGTACTATGAAAAAAGATAAAATTGAGTACATAACGTACATAATGTGCCAAGAAAAAAAAAAGATATTTGAGAATCCGAATATAAACCATGAAACTACCCAAGTCCTAGAAGAAATGGCAGAGGAATTCTTTCACAACCTGAGTGTGAGGAATGACTGGCCAGCTGGGGCCAGAGGCACATGCAAAGGGAAGAGGATCACCCTCCCGCAGAGCAGGAAGCTGAGTTCCCTGCGCCCACCCCCACCCAGCACCCACCTGCTCGTCATGCCAACTTCCATGCCCACCTGGGCCCTCCCTGCCCCTCCTGCAGGTGTGAGGCTCTGAACACCACCTGCTGTCAGAGAACCTCTTCCCTTGTGCTGTCATTTCCAAGGACTTCTCCCAGCCCCCCATCAGAACCCCAACTCACCAGCCCTGGTTGTGTCAGAGGTGTATCTCTTTGCACTCCTGCTGGGCTGCACACCATGGCAGTTCTGAACAACTCTGTTCCACGCCCATCCTGCTTGTTCTGCCCACAGCCCTGCACATGCTCCAGCCTGCCTGTGTGATCCCTGTCTCGTCCCCTGCTCTTCCACCTGGCTCTCCATGGCAACCGGATGCCCATGTGCACTGTGCTGAGGGGCCCCTGTGTCTAACTCCTCCACTGGACAGGGGCAGAAGGTGATCGCCGCCTGGCACGCCATGTATGTGTGGTGAATTAATTCACTTCTGTGTGGCTAGTTCTCCATAACGCAAAATTCCTGAGGTTTGTCTTAAAGAGAAGACTGCAGAGATGACAGATCGTCCTCTCACAGTAACTCTGTCTCCTGGGACCTCTCACAACACACTCGKGAAAAAGACCAACTCCAACAAGTTTCTTTTCTCAAGCAGTTGACCCCCACCTGTCCAGAGGCCTTCCCTGATGAGCAGACCAGGCGTCGCCCACGGGTACAGAACCATGCAAGTTAGGCGGCTGACGCCCAAGCCAGCKCTGCATATTTTCCCTTACAGGGTTACAGTCC